CGGACCCTTCCTTCATGCTCATTACTACTATGTGGTACACACGGCGAGAGCAACCACTGCGCATTGGTCTATGGTACACAGCAAACGGTCTCGGTATTGCCCTCGGTGGGCTCCTCGGCTACGCCATAGGTCACATCAGAGGGGCTTTGGCCTCATGGAGGTATGAGTTCATCATCATTGGTGCGCTATGCTGCGTGTGGGGAATTGTCATTGCAATCTTCATGCCTGACAGTCCTGTCACGGCCAAATTCTTGAACGATCGCGAAAAGAGAATTGCCGTTGAGCGACTGATGGGTAATCAAACTGGAGTTGAATGCAAGGTTTTGAAGGCAAGCGAAGTCCCTGTCGAACATGAGGCTCTTGGCTAACGTATTTGGTGCCAACAGCCCTACCAAATCTGGGAAGCCTTCACGGACATCAAACTGTACCTCTTCTTTACTCTGGGCGTCGTTGGAAACATACCCAATGGCGGTATTTCAAACTTTGGCACCCTCATTATCAAAGGTGACTCCTTCTTGCCCATCCTGACCGCGGCTGAAGACTGACACGCTGTACAGGCTTTGGCTTTTCAACCCTCGTTACCACGCTAATGCAGATCCCATATGGGGTCTTCATTATCCTGTCGATCTTGTCCTGTATGCTTGCTTTTCTTATGTGTCCCAAGCAAAGTGTACCTGTTGCATCCGAGCTTTCCTGCGACCACCATGACTTCAATTCGTTCTCATAAATCGATGCTGATTCGATAAACTCCTTCCAGGTGTCTTCTTGAACAACCGCTTCCCAAACAACAACCGCTGCAAATTCATTTTGTTATTCCTCTGCCCCAACATCGCAGGTGCATTCGGCCTTTGTTTTGTTAATGAAAAACACCACGTGGGCCGCTACTTCTGCTATCTACTCACAGGACCCTACAACGCCGCTTTCGTGATGATTTTGTCTCTTCAGATTGCGAATACTGCGGGTCATACTAAGGTATGTTGGATGTGTCATGCCCACTCAGCGATGATCAGCTTCACTCTTTTCTTTTCTAAGTCTGGATAACTAACAGCAATAATGTAGAAAGTTGTAACCAATGCTGTTCTGTTCTTAGGATATTGCACGGGAAAGTAAGTCTTCGGAAGATATCTAGGCTAGACCGTTGTCTGCCTCAAATCTTATTCCTAATTTTGAATAACACCGCTAACCGTATTGATTCTTCAATGAAACAGCATCGCAGGCCCATTTTTCTACAAGACAGATCAAGCTCCAGAATATACATTGGGCATTTGGAGCATGATTGTCAGGTGCGCGCGCACTCCCCCTATTTCCAAAGCAAGCCCAAATCCACGATTTCCCCAAGACTGTGACTAACTTGCGCCGTGTCATATGTAGCCATCTTCTGGAGGTGTGTGTCATTATAACTTTCTGGGTGTTGATGAAATACGAAAATGCTCGCCGCGACAAGATTCAAGGCCATCAGGAACGAGACCTCGATGCCACTGCGTTCGGAGACTTGACGGACCGGGAGAATTTGAACTTCAGATATATCTACTGAAAGCAGCAAAAGGCAGCACTAGATATCTCGAATCTGGACCGGTCTTCGAAGAGAACTGGAAGAAATACAGCAATCAAGCAAGCAAATAGGAAGGAGTATGTCGAAGGACATTGCAGCATTTGAAATGGGAAGATAGCAATAACAACGTTGCACATTCAAGAAATATAGAGTCAAGAGTCAGGAACACACCCGACCTGGCGAGTTTCGAGGAAAGGTATATCTAGGGCGTTGAAGCAGAGACGTTGCCCTCTGTAGGCTTTATCAGACGCTATGCTCTCAACGTGAGTGACCAGGCTGACATTTCCGCGAACACCCAGGGTTTAGCTATAACATGCCATATTTGATTGGATTAGAGGATAGAGCCCTGCCGCGGTCAGTAACCACGACCTTGGTATAACTTGTATGCAGGCGTACGGATCCTCTGGCGATGAAGCAGCTTCAGGTATCAGCCTCACCACGAGGCTGGGGCTCCCGCCAAGGCTCACCAGGCTGAGCCTTGTGCTGTTGACTTCGCAGTCTCCTTTCCAGCATCTGTGTGCTTCGTGTTCTTGTCTTCTTTCTCAGGTATCTTACTCAGTAGATCGACAACGTGATTGCAGAGCACCAGATCATCAACAGGGATCCTGTTGAACATCTAGTCCATTTTCGTGCGTGTGTTACCCTTCGCCTCCAAAGTCACATGCGTGTTGAACTCTTTGTCGTTGTGTCGTTCAATGAGAGTGGGCATAGTAAATGAAGAAGGGAGACCCGTCTCTCGTTTCCAGTTTCTAGCAAAGTCCACCCACCGGCCATAGAGTTACCAGCGCCAATGCCCTCGCCAAATGCGTCCCTCCAGTTACAGTGGTGGCATCATGAATATCATGGCCGCGAGTTTTCTCGAATGACGCCTCCCCACTGACATATACAAAAGGTAATCACGAGATGCCGAAATTGAACTTTACTCCCTCTACAACATCTTCATGGTCTAGCGTGGAGCTAATAGTCCAGCGGTCGTCTAGTCGAATAACCAGGACTCTTGGGGCTGCATCCTCGCAATGTTTGAAAAGTACTCAATCTTTATACGAATACGCACCAACCACTGGCCATATTTGACTGGCTTAAGACGGAACTTGAACATGACTAGGCTCAGCGAAGGTGATTTGGCATTCTTGTTTAGATTTCCTTGGACATCATGGAGAAGGAAGCATTGAATCGTAGTGGCCTTTGTGAGGCGCTCCACGACGAGGTGCCGATTTCAATCTGTCGTGGACAGGTTCTTAGCATGGAAAGCATCTTCGTCATCACCACTGATGACTAGTGGCGCCTCGGATGAGATGAGGACGTCGTCGTTATCCACGGCTTGGCCCAGGGTGTCATCCTCACCTTCGTGGGACTCTATTATGAGGGATGAGGAGATGGGGAGGCTGGCACGAACAGATCAGTCAGTCCTGCGGCTCGTAGGCTGAGTAGGTGAAGGGATGAGGTTGGTGCGGCAACAAGGCTTTTGAGAGATTGGGGAGCGAAAGGCTGGAGTCAGTATTTGGGCGCCAAGACGCTTCAATGCGCCAATGGCGATGGAGATCCTTTAATATCTTGCATATACGTCTCGAGGTCATTTGGGAGCCCATTTTTTGCGACCCTTCTGTTCTCCAAAAGAGAGACAACAAGGAGCGCTCAGTACACCAATATCACGTTCTGTCAAGACAAGGAAGTCATGATGACTCGAGAGTCCTGGAATGGAGCCGTAGCGTGGCCGTCAGGGATGCCGAACTAGAATCGTTGGAGGCATCCTCGGTCCCTAACATTACGCCGGGAACTCTGAAGATCACCGACCAAACGGCAATCAGAATCAGGGAGGTGTTGATGCTTGAGAGCCTCGGGCAGATGTCATGCGACGCTGCGCATCGCTGCTTATATGTGTCAAATGAGACATAGTATGTTTGCACCGCTTGACGAAGCCCACGTTGAGCGTGCAGAAACTGATCTTCTCCGCCGTTCCACCCGCAAGTCGCATATGAGACAGATCACGTATTATGGTTGCGAGATCGCCGCCAAGTTAGCCATTGCTAGTTGAGTTAACAGTTTAATAGGCAGTTTGATAGGCAGTTTGATCATATCAGGGACCTACGCAACGCAGTAGGTACAAAGAAATTGGAGTAGCTGAATGCCTTATTCTATTCACGTAGTCCTATTGACAACGACTCAACGCTTGAGAAAAAGGAAGAGTTCTCTCTCAGCCGATTCGGGTGAGAGGAGACTCTTATAGCTTCCCCTCTTTCTGTCACGTGAAAAGGGTAAGGCAGCGTTAACCGATAGCCTTGTGCTTCAACCATCCTTTACCTTATCCTTTTTCTTTCTATACCGTCCACCCGATTCGGGTGGAGGGCGTAGAGTACTTGGGGACAACGGTGGGCTCGTGACAGATCACGAGCGCAATTTGCGTCAGGACGACCTCGCTAAAGATGACGTCGACAGGAAACGTTCCGGAATGGCCTTCCTCACACAAACTCAATGTCTATATAAACAAGGAAGAGCTCGCTGAAAGAATAGATAGATAGATATCTCAAAGAATAGTCCAATGTTATCCATTTACGCAATAGCTTGGCAGTGCTCAACCTCACGGCTGAGCCGGCCCTCCCCGCGAAAAATCAAGAGTTAACTGTTTATGATATGCTGTATTCGAGCGGGAATAAGACTCTAGCCACAGTCAAAGTCACCAGCCACCACCTTTACGTGTATGGATCCGTTGCTTGAAGCATCCTGAGCATCTCAAAAGGACCTCTCGGTAGTCCTAATAAGGCTAGTCGTCCGTCAAGGCCGATAGTGAGGCCGCATTTTGATTGGCCACACGTCAACCGCGCTCTACTCAGGAGGCCAAGGGCTTAACTTCAGAGACCGAATATTCACAAACATGCGGCCAGCAGCCTCATTATGAAAATGAAGTCGAAGCCGAAGCCGAAGTAGAAGTAGAATCAGGCGAATCGGAGACAACTAGTTCATCTGTCTTGATTGGCAATTTGAATCATGGCGTCGTTACCCAATTCCCCCATCATCGCATTCAGCCACTAGTCGACCTTTCCCTTTCGCCCGCTGGAACAATCCTTGGACCTTCCCCAACATCTTCCGGCATTCTCCGCGTCAGGAAGTCATGTCTTCGCAAGTAGGAGATAAATTTTTCTTTTCGTTGGGGTATTTGCTCGAAGTCACACTCCAGCTTCCAGAGGATGTTAACGCGACGAGATTCCCCGTGGCTGTTTGCATTCAGAGCCGGTAAGGAGCTCAGGTTTGGATGGCTCTGTTTGACGACGCGCGCGCCAAATCTATCTCATCGGCTGAACCACTGCCCATCCCTCCCCCCAATATCGCTCATGAAAGATTTGGAAAAAGCTGCTGCTTCACTTTCGCTGGGATGGCCTGCCACGGACCAGAAGGGCCTTCACGCCAAACTTTTCCCTCTCACCGTGCAGCTTTCTCTACAGAGGTACGCTCAGCAGAATGTTGGGTCGCGTTGGCTTCGTGACTGCGGCTGAGCATGTTCGTTCGTGGGGGCATCGTGAGTCTTATTCCAGTGGCCTGTCATACAGCGGCTCGGTATCCTGTCGACCAAGACCGAGAGGTATGCAATCGTACACGCAAGCTCTATCTCGCCACCCTCCTTGTCGTAGAGAGGAATGCTATTTGTTGGACATTTCGCAGCATCTGAAAGTTCATTGACGAACAACCTGGAGAGGGTGAGACATTCATCTGCTGAGTGGCATTGAAACTGTGGAGATTCTGGTGTCAGCGGACTTAACTCGCTAAGTTCAAAATTGATTTTAAATTTACCATACCGATACGATGTAAAACAGCAGCTTCGTTTCGGCGGAACGCAAGCTCTGAACCTCCTGGCGCTCGACTGCGGCTGCCAACTCACCCAGGCTCGGTTTGATTGACGGTGCCTGGAGCTCTTTTGTGATGATTTCTCCGACAGTGATGATGAACCTCAGGACAGATCCTTGCACCGGGCCTTTGGAGGCCTTCTGAGTCGGAGATAGCGATAATTTTGCACCTGCTAATCCACAACCAGAAGCAGGTACCGCACAACATTCTCCGACAAAGGATGGCATATCTTTGAGTTGATTGAAAAGGTAGGCGGCAGTTGGACGCTTTCCTTCCGCCAAATCGAATCCCTTAAGGACAAATTCGAGGGATGCACACTGCACCTTTGCTTCAAGTCGACGTTGAAGGTTCTCCAACCGACGCACGACCTCTTTGTGCTTGGTACTGAAAGTGAAAGGCCACTCTTCAGCTCCACAATATTTGCGAAACTCTCTCCTGCCGTCGCCAACCAGTACAGAAACCATTTCGACAAAGCAGCAGATCGAGGACCACACGTCTCGCGATCGACCGCGGCGAGCACTCTCAACAAATTCAACAGCCTCCAGTGCTTGATATAGCAAGCCCCAAGACACTGGCCTTGGGACATGCTTCTGCCTCAGAATTGAACTGATATTGCAAAATCAGTAGTGATGACGTTGTCTGGTGTACCAAAATATTCTCAGGCTTGATGTCCTTGTGCTTGATTTCGTGGTGGTGAATATGCCCAAGGCCTGCTGAAAGACAGCCAAACCGCTGCTGCATCACCAGCCGATCTCTGACTATGAGAAGCCTATCCTCACGATCGCATTCAGCCAGAGGGGACAGAATGAGGTGGCCTTCGTTGGCGGGATCGATGTAACGACCAACCATTTGAGTTACATGCCAATGCGGATCCTGCCGCAGCTTCTCGACACAATTGATCTCCTTTTAGTACGCCTCACGGTAATCGTCCACTGGAAGCCAAATCGTCTATCGGGCGAGCCACTGCCTGTGGATTATGACTGTCTGGATTATCGCGTGATTTCCCTACCCAATTTTCTTTCCAGTTGTTTCGATTGTGTCTACTGCCCCTTGAGCAGAGATGCTGCACTGGAGTACTTCTGCACTGAGTACTTGTGTGCTCTCGTCGATCCTTTTGAGGTCCAGGTCTTTATAGTCACAGTCCGCCGAATCATGGCGTTTCAAATTCCGGACTGGGTCCCTTTCGGGCCCGAAGACTTCAACGGCACGCTTGACCGACCCATCAGGAATACAGGTTCACCTTCGTTGAGAAGGTAGATGCCTGAGGTGGGATATAGAGCAGCCTAAAAAGACTTCAGTAGATGTGTCCTAGACCTAGAACTTGAAATATGGAGAATCGCAGAGGATTTCTAGCCTCGCCTGACATAGATGGCGATTAAAAAGTTGAGGCAACGCGGCGCAAACGCGGTCGAGGCAGGCAAATATATCTACCTGCTTTGTGCTTGTGGAGTCCTTGCCTCGATTTCTGCGCCGCCGGTAGCCTTCGCACCGGAAGTGTGGTAAATGAGATACGACAGGCTTCACGGCCGCCTTATGACGGTTAGTTGGAACCAACCTGGTTAAGCAGCGCGAAAAACCTCAACAAGACAACGGGACCAGGGACTCGATCAGGCGGCAGGGGCAGCCTTATATGTACTGTACCTGGATCTCACATGTAAGCTCGGTCAATATTATCTGCCGCCAACCAGCGACAAAGCGGCTGGACTGCTTAGATCGAACATATCACCATCACCCTCGCCTCAGCGCCATTCGGCTAGTTCAGCAAGTTGTACCTTCGCAGGAGAAAGCCCACAGATGCACTTGTATCCGTTGGACACCTACCAGGGCCAAGAGGAAGAGAGAGCAACGACGGTAGAGCCCTGACTCTTTCCTGTTTCTGTATGTGAGATTGCCAAACCGGCCGACCTAAACCGCGTAGTGATCCTTGTTGCCCTCTGGATCGCGGCTGGAAGGGTGAGGAGGCTGCTGAGTAGAACGCGGCAAGGAGTGAACGACGGCTAAATCGGCGAGTCGGTGGCTGTGAAAGCAATAAAGCGAAGAGATGGTCGAGCTGTCCTAGTGTGAGTCCCAGGCTAGTGAGGCTGACCTCTGAGGTGCGACTTCCCAGCCCAGGGACTGCCTCGTCCTCTCCCTCCCTCCCTCCCTTTCTCTTTCCTCTTTGCCTTGTCCTTGAAGTAGACCCCTTGATCAAACACCCCAACTACCCCAACTCCTCGTGTTTCATCGTGAAACGGAGATCCGGATTGGCAGCTCCAACCTCCAAGGGAACGCCCAGCTCTTCTACCGAGGAACAAACTTTTTCCCTCCGTGACAGGGCAATGTCATCGTCAGCAAGGCCAGTAATGTACATAGCATCTGATGCTGCGTCCATTGGGGATAGGGGATTCCCCGCTCGCCCGCTTCCCCAGACGCACGCTGGATCTCTAGAGCCAGGTGGAGGGGTAAACCACCTCAGGTAGGTTTCGGTGCTGGACCAGCGGCCCGAGGTTGAACTTGCACGAATCATCGAGTCTTGACTCTTAACTCTTGGGTGGCCGTGACCTGCCTGAAATGGATAGCCGTCATATATATGTGATTTTCGTGTCGCGGGCCGTCGTTGCCAATCTGTCGGTATATCATAGAGTGGACGGGTAGGACTCGATAGAAAGGGTCCTCCTCGCTGGCTTGTAACGTCTGGCATCATGGCCGGCCTCCCGAACCGTCCTAAAGACTTCAATGCTTCGCACACTGAGCAAGACTCCGTCCCGAATGGCGTCTCCGACGGCGCCAGCAGCACCGTTACAAATGGGCAACCCGCTGATAACATCCACAACATCAGCACCGATGTGTTGATCGTGGGTGGCGGCTTTGGGGGCATGTACGGGCTATACCAGTTCCGCAAAATGGGGCTGCAGGTGAAGCTCTTCGAAGCTGGCTCCGACTTTGGCGGCACCTGGTATTGGAACCGATATCCGGGGGCTCGCGTGGACAGCGAGACGCCCTACTATAGTCTCTCCATCCCGGAGACCTACAAGAACTGGCATTTCACTGAGCGGTTTCCGGGACACCAGGAACTTAGGCGCTACTTCAAGCACATCGACAAGACCCTCGGCTTGAGCAAAGACGCATACTTCAATACCGTGGTCGTCGGAGCCCAGTTCCACACAGACACGGACGAATGGCACGTCCGCACCGACGACGGTGGTCTCGCAAAGGCCAAATATCTCGTCTTGGCCACGGGGTCGTCCTACAAGAAGCATTTCCCGGACTTTAAAAACCTGGACAAGTTCAAAGGCCGCCTCATTCACTCGGCGCTCTATCCCGAAGAGGGAATCGACGTGACGGGCAAAAGAGTCGGCGTGATTGGGTCCGGAGCAACAGGCGTGCAGATTGTCCAGGAGCTCGCGCGCGAAGATTGCAAGTTGACCGCGTTCGTCCGCACACCCAACCTCGCCCTCCCGATGGTGCAACGAAAACTCACAAAGGAGGAACAAGACAACGCAAAGTCCTTCTACCAGGCCTACTTCCAGGCTGCGAAGCAATGTCTCAGCGGATTCCCGTACAACCCGGCGACCAAGACGTTCCATGAAGCTACGCCGGAGGAACGGCTCGAGTACTGGGAAGAGCTGTGGCAGCGGGGCGGGTTCAGCTTCCTGATCTCCAATTACCGCGAGTTCCTGACGGACAAGGACGTGAACCGGGAGTTCTACCAGTTCTGGGCGAACAAGGTGCGCGCGAGGATGAAGGACCCGTTCAAGAGGGACGTGCTGGCGCCCCTGAACCAGGGCCACTGGTTCGGCACGAAGCGGCCGTCGCTCGAACAGGACTACTATGAGATGATCGACCGCGACAACGTGACGGTAGTGGACCTCACGGCGACACCGATTGTCGAGTTCACCGAGACAGGTATCAAGACTGCAGACGAAAAGGTGCACGAGTTCGACATCGTCATCCTCGCCACCGGCTACGACTCGGTCACGGGCAGTCTGCTGGACATCGGCCTGATTGACATCGACGGCGTGCCGCTTTCCGACAAGTGGAAAAACGGCACGTACACGTACCTGGGCCTGACGATCAACAAGTTGCCCAACATGTTCATGGTGTATTCTCCGCAGGCGCCCACGAGTCTTTCCAACGGTCCGCCCATCATCGAGATGCAGATCGACTGGATCTGCGCGGCCATCAAGAAGATGAAGGAGGAAGGCATCCGCTACGTCGACGCCAAGGAGGAGGCGGCCGAGAAATGGCGCGACGATATCCAGAAGATGAATGCCATGACGCTGTATCCCGAGACGAATAGTTGGTATATGTGAGTGACTCTGACCCTGTTCTTTCCACCGTCTCCTTTCACGTCCAAGTTACTTACCAAACACCCTTCTTTTCTCCTTTTTAGGGGCGCTAACATCCCCGGAAAACCCCGCGAGCAACTCATCTACCTGGCTGGGTTGGATGTGTACGACCGGTCCACCAAGGAGGCGCTGAAGACGTGGCACGGGTTCGATGTGGTTAAGAAGTAGGCCCTATGGTGTCTGCATACGCGAAAGAGAGGGAGGGTGTGGGAGGAGGAGTAGGAGGAGCGAGTGAGAGTAATTGAGTGAATGAGATACCAAGAGAAGGGAGTTCGAAACAGGATGACCAGCTTGGCTTTTCGAAGGAAGACTACATACTTACATATGCGTCAGGGCTCTCTCTTCCCGTGTCCAGTCGGTGAAGCTTGGAGAATTCAATGAAATGAAGTGAAATGCAACGATACAAACATGGCGAAAGATTTCCTCACAGCGAGAAGTGATCGATGCGTGCTCTGTATCCATTTCCCTGATATGGCTCTGGCAAGCGACCTGTATACATAAGTCGTTAGGTCGACAACATATACCTAAGTCCATGATCCCAACGACTCACCGATCAACCAACCCATCCGTTATGAACTCGGGACAGCGAGCTTCCAGTGAGTTCCATAGCGTCTGCGCCTCGTCACATCTCCGGCTCTTTAGGAATGTTGTGTAATGTATATTGTGTTGCTAAGTCGCCTTTTCCGGCTCTCGCGAGCCACATCATTACCTTGCAAGGCTCTCTCTAGGAAATGCCTCCCGCCATCGAAGCTGCCAGGAACATTTATACCTCACATCATCCAAATCTCATGACGCTGGAGCTACCACTCGAACGGGTTCTGATTTCCCAGTCACCAGAATCACCGGAATCGCTAGCATCGCTAGCGGCGCTACAATCGCCGCGCAAGTCTAGATACCATGATGCCACAGCCGCGGCAGGAGACGACGCTCAAGCCAGGCACCAATTAACGGAATGACCAGAATCATCAAACACAGCAGAATCACCACAATCACTGGAATCACGAGAATTAACAGAGTCACCATGCTCCACAGAATTGTCAGAGTTGTCAGAGTCACCTGGGCCAGCGGATTCACCGGAATCACCAGAATCAACAGAAATACCAGAATCACCGTCCACGTCGCACGACGTCGGAGCAACCGCGCGAGCCAGATGAAAATTACCAAAATTGCCAGAATCATTCGAGCGGTTACCTTCCGGAGTATACATAGGCAATTGCTACCCTCCGGAGGATAGCCATGGCCACCTGAAGTATAAGAGCCTAGATAAGAAGAGTTGGGACCGTAAATTTCGTCGATGTAGAGAAGAATGAAAACCGCGAGGATGCTCAAGACCCATGTGACGATAGTGTACACCTTACCAACCGTCTCTTGATGCTCCATGATATCCCTAGGAGGATAATGATGCTGGTCGGCTCTGGGTTCGGAGAGAAACAGGCTCAGACCCGGCGGGCTTGACAAAACCGCACGCAATGCTTTTGCACAAGCCCCCGAGACGTGGCCGTAGGTCTGCTGCCCTAGATATTGGCCGCTCACACAATCCCAGTGAGGATGGGTGGTGTTGGTGGGCTCACGTTCTGGCTTCGGCAGTCGTCGCGGTAGTCTTTTACAGCAGACCACATGGCTGCCCTGAGTGATATATAAGCCATGATACTGCCAGTTATCGCCAAAGCGCATTTCGCGATGAGAGCACTGGCTCGCCGCATTTTCCGCTAGGGCAGGCGCCGTGGTGTCTGCGAGGCCGTCCCAGTAGCCGGAGATGTCAAGTTTGATGTGGTATTGGTTGCCGAGCTAGTAAGAGCATGGGATGTGGTGTTTTGAGCAATATTTCCGGACCCAGTCCGGTTGGGAGGTGGTGTTTGCCTTGACATTGTAGGGTCAGCCGGAGTCGACGAAATCGGAGGCATGGGGCCTAATGGGATATTCACGGGGGACGAAGACATGCTCTGAGTTCAATTGCAGCATGGATGGGAGAGAAACAAGGAAAGGATGTCAGTTAGAAAAAGAGGTCAGTTCGCTGTAAGGCTGTGTGCGCTAGCTGCGCCTCGCGCGTAATTTGTGAACGAGCCAAATCAGGCCATGGCGGCCGAGGCACCTATTATTTCCTTGCTTTGGCCTGTATGACAATGTGATCAAGTACCAAAACCATTGTAAATAAGACTAGTAACATCAAACATCTCCTCTCACAGAACGTTTACGCGACACCGTCGCCCTGGTGAAGAACGACGTGAGATCAGGCTCTGCGCCCGCAAGGCTGAACCCACTAGACAGATGACCAAAGCCAGGCACAAATAGTGGAGCAAGACAATACCTCGAGACCCGTTTCGCTACGGCTACATCATCGATCTCTTACGTTCGTGCGATTTGGGAGAATATGAGAGGCCATCATCCCCGTTTAGAGGGACACTAGACTGCTACCCTTGCTTCTTTGACAGTGCGGACGCCTTACTCTAGTCAACGTATATATACCCAAACCAAACCCCATCCAACGCGGACGCCACAGTCACTCCACGGATGTCCAAACTTTCCCTGGCTAATGTACTTCGCTGGTTACCTTGACTTGTTTTGGACGTCCGCCAGGTGTTCGTTCTTGGGGTCGAAGCGATCTGTTTCCAGGTCCCAGTCCAGTCCGCTCACTCCGCCCAGCCAGATCCCTTGTCGTTGTACCTTCTGTCTCTCATATCGTTCAACAAACACGAGGCTGACACGAGTGAGGTGACAAAAGGGGAAAGAACGCCGTCATGTTGAATGGTCGCAGCGCAAGGATTCCGTATCTGCTCTGTACCTATTCATGGCCCTGCCTTTGGCGGATTGGATCCATGTGGTCATCTTTGCTTTTGTCGGATGTATCGAGATCGACAGCGACTGGAGACGGTCCTTGCGTTGCTGTTCCTCCACAGGTCCAGAAGCGGTAGAACCCTTACCTTGCGTGGTCATCTTGCTGCTTCCCTCCCACGTCCTCCAAGCCAAATTCCTTCCTGATAGCTGCGCCAACCCTACTGATTGCTTCGACGATCTTCTCGGCAGGGGCAGCCGCAAAAGTCGTGCGACAGAACAATTCGGTATCACTACCCCGCTGCGCTCTGAACCATGACCCCTTGGCGATGAGGACTGACTGTTCGGCGGCGGCTAGAAACATAGCGTCTTCAATTTCCACCAATGTCGCGTAGTCGACCTGCCCCTCAGAGTTGCATCGCGACTTGTAGAGCGGATGCTTCGTTATGTCGACGTGGATCCAATGAAACATGCCCGCCTTTGGCGCTACCCAACTGCACACTGGCGTAGGGAGATGTTGTTCGCATGCATTCACAATAATGTCCCTTCGCCGTGTATACTCTGCACGAATAAACATGAGCCACTCCAAAAACCCCTTCTGCCCCCAGTTCTCTTCGAGCAGGTTGTACAGGTGGATCATAGCAAATCCCGCGGGATTCTGCGCGCTGACCTCATTGTGCCGGATGAAGCGCTCAATCACCTGCGTTGAGCCTGTAACCCAGCCGCAGCGACTTCCCGGGGCGATGATTTTGGAGAAAGAATCCAGGCGGAGAACGCGGCCGGAGGTGTCGAGCGAGAGGTATGAAGGGACAAGGTTCTGCAGGAATTCCGCCACGGGAGCCGGTTTAAATGGTTTGGGCACATCGTGCGTCTGCCCAGAAACAAAGGGCTCCATTTGAAGGAAGTAGTAAGGCTCGTCTTCGAGGATATATAGGTCGTGTTTCTCGGCCACCGCGTAGATTTGTTTTCTGCGCTCGAGCGATTGGGTGCTGGCCGTCGGATTTTGACCGGTCGGCACGGTATAGACGAGAAATGGTTTTGGAGCCCTTCTCGCACTTTCGTCCCAAGTGGACAGAATGTGATCCAAATCATCGGGAAGCATTCCATCTGCATCCATTTTGATCCCTAGCATTTTGCATCCAAGAGGAGCTATGGTCTCAATAGCGGTGCTGAAGGTATACTCCTCAGTGATCACGTAATGACCTCTCTCAGTAAACATTCGAAGTGCCATTTCCAGCGCCGAGGTGCTGCCGGCCGTCATGCAGACATCCCAATCTGAGTATGGCGGATTATGGACGATTTCTGTGTGTTCTGTAACGAAGCGGATCAGAGCTGCAGGACCCATCGACTGGCCATAATTGAGAGCGATCGAGAGATCAAGCAATGATTTTCCCTCTCTAGCGTCGTGTTTTCCCGCGGAGAAAATCTTGCCAGACTCATGTGTTTCGCCTTCCGAGAATTGAGGCGAGATTGGAAGTTTTGCACTGAGCTTTTCGAAGGGAAAATAGTCGCTAGACGTGGATCAACACTGAGCAGACGCGCAAATGAAAAACGACAAAGACCACTCACCTCGAAGGCAATCCGCCGCAGAGGCTGATGGTGTCGGGCCGAAAATACTTCATGGCCCCCTTCAGTGAGGAAGCTTGTCGGGCCTTGCTCTCTGTTGAGAGACGATGATCCCACCGTTTGGCCACCGGTTTTCTGAAGCATCCTTTGCTTTTGAACATATCTGCGCTGGAAAAAGCGGCGACTGATGTTGGAGGAGGTTTTGATCTCTGGCGATGTGGCAGGACATGATCGACGGTAAAGACCGAATGCGTTTCACCATTGGTGAGAGCAGGGTCGCCCAAAACGAAGGACGAAGTGTCCGTGACCGCTTCAGGTTCAGCATGAGGAGCCATGGCGATCTCTCTGATCAAATACCTTGTTGATCTTTGGATTTGCAGTGAGCGAGACCCGAAGACAATGTGCTCACCGACAGTTCGCACGGTGCTTCAAGGGCACAGATAACATATAACGAGAGACAGTGGGAAAGATGGAGGAGTGATCCTGTGACGTCCCAAGTTTAAGTATTACATACGACGAAGACGGGGAGTGGATGGACTTGAAGGATATTAGGTAAATGAAAGGAACGACAGTGACTCGACGAGGTCCAGATTTTGTTGACCGGGTGGACAAGGAACAAGGGATGGTATGGAAGGAAATGTGCGCTTGAACATGCTTATCGTCGGCCCACTCGCCTGAGGTCCAAGTCCGGCCAATTACGGCGCCGAAAACCCACGCGCCCTGCCCACCCGCTCCACGTGACTATGCCGCTTTAGTCAGGTCCATCTCCGCCGCCATTCCGCATTCCGCTCAAATTGTCAATGAAGGGCGTACCTGTACATACTACTCCATAAAAGCCAGAGGACAGTTGACGAGGCTGGCCACCATGTACATTTAGATGGGGGCCGTGCTCTCTCTTCTTGGCTGCCGTCGCTCGAAAGTCCTGGTGCATAATATTGGCCAAAGCATCGAAACCGCCCGGCTCACCGAGAAACATTCCTGCATAAGCTGATTTTGTACTCTCAGTTTCTGTCGGGGCATTTCGCGCCTGCGATAATTGTCTGTCCAGCACTTGAACGCTCGAAACATGATCCATTGATTCGCTCCTGTCTGTCGATCCCGTCATGCACACCGCCCCACTCGTAACCTCCTTGCCCCCCCTTCGTTGCAGGTTGCCCTCGGCAGGTCTTCCAAACCCGGTCAATCTCGATTAAGCTCAAATGCATTCTGTGTTCTTCCATGGTCAGACAGCCCGCCCCTTTTCTTACAATATCCTTCCATGCTCGCCCCCTGTTCTCGTGTACAGTTGACGCGGATAGTAACGAATAGACCTCCGCTTCTTCCTCCATCCCTTTTCTCCTCCCGCAGCCATCCCACCCAATCGTCATAAGCTATCTGGCCGTGCCCGAGGAATTGGCAGATAGTACACTCCTGTCCGCTGTTGCCCCATGGCTATCTTGACTTCCGCGGACGTACTCTCCCACCGACTCAGAAGTTGTCGCCGGTGATGCCATTGTGGCCGGCGGACACGGCGCTGGGATAGCCGTACGGGCCGGTCGCGTCGTGTTCGTTTGCATTGATCCCGTGCCCCTGATTCAATAGTTCGGCGGCATTGTCGGCTTGCCCGCCTGGGTAACCGGGGGGCCCTGTCGTGGCATTGCCCTGGACATTGCCGGCCCCGACGCCGCCGCCATACCCGCCACTGCTGGTAGGTCTGTTCTGGTTCTCGCCCCTTGTGGATTGGGTCTCATCCCAATCAGTTCAATTGTTCAGATTGAATTCCTCGTCGAGCTGACAAAGGAGAGGGAGATTCGGATGAGAGGGACAAGGCACAAAACTTACTTCGCGATACTTGGACAGATAGATTTTGAGTGCTTCTGCATAGTTCTCGAAGCCCAACGAAGTCATGGCGAACAGGATATCTTCCCCATTGACCGTCTTGCGCTTCTCTTGTTGACACTTTTCGGACGCTGTGCAACGTTAGCCAAAGCTTCTCACCACTGTCAGGAAAAAAAAAAAAAGGGGGGGGGGGTGAAATAAACAAAAACAAAGGACCGACAGACCTTCGCTCGTAATGAAGGAGATGAACTCGCTCACGCATTCTTGCATGCACTCTTTCGCTTCTTTGGCGATTTTGGCATTGTCGGGTAAGGCAGTCTTCATGATTCGGGCCACTGGTGCGAAGTTGCGTATGTTAGCATCTGACATTGCGGACGTGGAGGAGGGCGACGACGTTGATCGACCGCCATGATGCTTGGAGGAGGATGACAATGGTTTGCGTTCATGCTCAGAAGAACTGGAAGGCATATTGAGCTTCTTGTTTCGTCGAGTGAGACGTTGACAGAGCTCTCTGAGTGGTCCAGATGCCGCACCAGTCAGCGCTGAGGAGAGCTGGGATGCAAATCATGGCTTGAGGAGGAGAGAAGCTGCAACGAATGAGACGATGCTGGCTAAAGAGCAGCCGCAGTGTCGCACATTCGGATTCGCACAGAGGCCAGAAGCAGCGTTGCTGGCGCGCGCAAAGATGCAGGGCCTGTAACGCAAGGGTCGAACAAATGAAATCCCAACGCTCCCAGACTGCGCGTCTGGTGACACCTCCCCTCCCTCCAGTGAGAAAGCTCCGCGTATGGACTCGAAAACATCATGACCACAAAAAGAAATAAGAATGGCACCCACCATTTGCAATGGGAAGCCATCGGTCCTGTTCCTTGACTTCAAATTCCAAACCAGCTCCTTGTGCTCCTTCTTGTTCGCGATCCATATGATCCTGCTCTTCACCAGATTGTGCGTTCTGTTCGACATCGGGCTCTTTGGGTGGGGAGGCCGACATGATGTAGTCCTGTACTCTGAAGGATAGCCGCAGCGGCCGAATTGCAAGGCGAAAATTGTCTGGTGGGCGGGCGATGACCACGTCACACTGGGGCGACACCAATGCAGAATGTCTAGTGCTGGCCTGCGTCACTTCCGGCGCCAGAGGTCAGACGATTGCTCCTCCTGCTCTCTTTGTGCCCAAAATGATTCTTAGTCGGCACGCTCCCCAGGGCTGCCGGGCGACCGGGGTGACTGTGGAATGGGAGGATGCGTTGTCGTGCAGGCACACCGTCGATTTCGAGACCTGGGGGACTCTCGGAAGAAGCGTCGAATGAGTGTGGTGGGATGTGAGGCGGTCTACCACGGAGGGCACGCACGAATGACGAATTTCCGATGGGCAGGAGGGCTTAGTCGCAGCTGGAACGAGACGCGATCGCTGGGACCTTGGGAGACTAGCCAGCAGGATCGCAGTGCAAGGCGATGCAACACGCGAGAATGCGGCAGCGCGGTGGCTGCGCAGTGATGCTCTGCGACTGCTATGCTATGCCCTGCGCGACTTGAGGGCCGGGACGGACAGCTGCAGATGAGACGCTTGGGTCGCCGGGGACTGCAGGTCTAGATTGTTTTGGTCAGTCGATCGGTCAGTCCGCAGGGATTGGGGCCATTAGCGATACTAGCATCGGCAGACTAGCATCGAGATCTAGGAGGGATGTCTAACGGACCAGAGAGGGCAGAGCCAGAGTGAGACGTATGGTGTATGCAATGCGCGAAGCAAGGCGGAAGAAGACAGACGGAGGAGCGAATGAGTGTAGTTGTTTTGCCGACGGCAGCGGACGACGATTGGAGGAAGTGGGAGTCGGATGGCTTGTGAGAATTAAGGATCCTATAATAGGATGGTCAAGGGGCGCGCTGCAGGTGCCAACGCGACAAGAGGATGAACAAGGTTGAAAGACGATGGATAGTTGGTGGATGAAAGAAAAGTCGATGATGGTTGGATGGATTTTGGTTTTGGGATACCAAGTAGACAAGATGGTTGATGGTGGAGAGACCAGTTCGAAAGAAGCAGCGCAGGCAACGCAGTTGGCGGGGAGAGCTGACAGAGAGCGTGAGCAGGCAGGGAGGAAGGCGGGAGGGGACTCGGGAGGGGCGAGAGCTGAGGGGAAAGCTTCATACTCGGGTTGCTAGGCGGTTTCAGGGCTTGCTGGGTGCCAGTGGTGCCTGTACTACTCGGTCCATCCCTATGATTTGCGCCCAGGCGCCCTGACCGTCAACCCCATTCACTAAGACGACGCCTATCAGCCTTACTCGGCCCCCTGTTCCTCTCGCAGCCTCGACTCCAAAACGAAACAATGACAACAAACACCGCTCATCCTCTCCCTTACTCTCCTTCTCCCATCTCCTGCGTACGGAGTACATACCTGCTCTCGCTTAGACTGCATGACATCTCTCGCCTGCCATCTGCAAGCCATAAGCTTCATCTGAACCGTCCCTCTGGTACGCTTCCAAATGGCCTTGGAAGTGCTCTTGCTTGCCTTGGGCCTTGAACAATCCAATCTCAGTATCATGCCCCAGCCTCTTGAGACGCCTTGACAACCAGCAATGATCTGCTCTGCAAGCTGTCACCGCCTTGCAAGTCGAGCATTCGACGACTCCTTGTTTTTCTGACCCCGTAGCCGGCCTAACAAAACCGGGCAGAGCAGCCCCGAACCTTCAGTCTCTGCTTTCCCGAGGGTGCCGAAGTCGCGGTGAAGCCACCGCCATATCCTCTCTTACTTCCTCCCAACAGTGAAAGTCCCCAGTAATAATCTCGTTTCGGAGTCGAACTCGACCCTTTCCACCTCGTTATTCACGGCGAGGTCGTCAAAACTGGGAGGCCATTCGTGTATGCTTCATTTCCCGTGAAGTGTGACAGTCACCAACCAGAACAGCGAGAGGCGCCGTATCACATGAAAGGGTCATAAAGCACACGCCCCGCCAATCATAACCTTTGACACAGCGCTGGGCCAGCAAGCCCAATCTCAGCCTCACTAACTGGGAAGGCCTTCGCTGCGGCCGTTCACCTGTGCATAAGCGCCGTAGGACTAACGGCTGCTCCAGAACCATAGCTCGAATGACCAGTGGCATTGACAATTCTGACCGGTTGTCCAAGCAATGGCAGAATGGCGTGTACCGCGACAATGGTTTGGCTGCACAGATCCCAGATTGACCATTTATTTGTTGGCAGCACCCGGCTCTCCCCCCCGTTGCTTCGATCAGACTCACTCTATCACCCCATCCAGATCGGATATAGTAGTCGCAAATATAGGACCCGAAGGACTGTCACATGGTGCGGTGGGGGAATCCGCCTCACGTTGGGCATACACGCATAAACATGGGTTGTGCGCTAGGCCTCAGCCTGAAAAGAGACTGTCACATATGATGCAAGGTTTGCGGGCCCACGTGCTGGGCTGACGTTGTATCGGTGACCCAAGTGTCGCCTGTTGCCAACAAAAACGACGCTCAGTGCGGTTTCACATCGCTATGATTCATCACTTTCCTCAGAGGGGTTGTGGGAGGGTTTTGCACTCGGGCTCAAAATCTCACAAATGTCAAGAACGGAAAATCGACGACTCTCTAGACATATCGATGCTTCGTCATCAAGCTGGGTATATATGTCTCGTATGAATGTCCCTTTCGGCAGTAGTGTAGCTCAGGGCGTTGAAACATTCCATCATTGAAACAAACGTAGCAGGGGTATCTCTTCAAAAAGACAAAGAAAGCAGCATACATGCCGACCCTGATGGAGCCATGCAATATGTTCCACTCGCTCCCAAGCATACCTGTGCCTTCAAAATCAAAAATTACTGGTAAAGAAAATAGAGTCGTCAGCGTTGCCTCCCTCTTCTCCTGTTAAAGGATCGAGGACCCAAGCGTACCCGGTCCCACCTCAGCGAAGTGAACGCTCAGCCTCCAGGACGACCTGCGCCAAAGGATGGCGGAGTGTACCGTATTGGTTGCTCGATTGGCTCGTAAGTGATCTCCCGGTTGCTGACTCGGCTGGGTCGCGTGCGTGGTTCAAGTGGAACTTCCTCGTGAGTGTATCGACCATCATACTCCATGGACGACGGTCCCCTACGGTGGGCAGAGTAGTAGCCATTATCGCCGAGTCGATATTCTCTGGGCGCCGCACGAACATGGTTATCGTGATCGACGTGCCGTTCCAAGAAGTACCGCCTGTTCTCCAAGTAACGTGACCCACCAATCTCAGAGGGTTCTTGATATCGATCCGGAAAATTTTCGACTCGAAGTGGATACCTCTCCAGGCTCGGCTCTCTTATTTCTACATAACGTCTTCCGTCATGGCCGTAGAAATATTGATGCTCATACGAAGGCACGGCGTAGGTTGAGGCCATATTCCGCATGCCCTCATTTTGACTATCGTAGTGGATTTGTTGCGTTCGTTCAGAGATCTCTTCCCCGTATCTGCCGCCGTGAGCCGCTTCCCGAGCAACTTCATGGTCGCGGTCTGGTGGCATCACAGGGCGATAGCGTAATTGTGTTGCAGGGTCGTCAGACCATAAAGGCGGCTGCTCGATCTCTCTCATAGGTAAAGGAGGCCTTTGTCTCGAGGCCGGAGAGAGGCGGCTCACAGCATGACTGTTCATTCTGTCCCAGGACTGGTGGTGCTGAAGATAAGCATCAGCCGATTGTGATCCAGGCACAGTGCGTGACTGCTGTAAGTCAATCCCATGCGCGGTGGCTGCAACACTCTTTGTGCTATCCATCCTCTCTTCATCAACCATTGGACTGAAGCTATTGAGGAATTTCTCTACTGCTCCCTTGGTTGCCGCCTGATCGGTGTCATCTCTTGATGTCTCGATCTCACTGGTGGCTGCTCTTGACTCCGAATCTATTCCCCGGTGTAAAGAGATGCGACTGGTAGTTTTGCTACCCCTTCCAGTCTCAGATATTCCCTCAACCGAGGTACCGCCGTCTCTTTGCAGAGACTCGGCGTATGAGAACCTGGAAGAACCATCTCCATACGAGTAGATCATGGAACCATGGGACATGGGACCCTCCCCTCTCCAGGCCTCCCAACCACGCCCAATCTCAAAAGGATGAGAATGTTCCTCTCGACGAGAGGCAGACCTGCCCGTGTAATCCCGGACCGCGTCGCTAGCTCTACCACCGGTATACGAGCCTTGGTAGAATTGAATGTTAGAGCGTCCCGGTCGCGTAAGTGTCTGAGTATGGAAACGAGGCCCATATCCATCTTCATTGGCATATCCAGAAGCTTCAGATCTGGCAAGGGAAGAGCCGGCAACGCCATCTCGGATGGCCCCTCTATCAAGCGCCACAGGGAGGCGCCCGCCATTAAGCGACTCCATTCTTACCGACCCTGAGGAGCTGTTCTGGTTGATGTATTGTGATGGATCAGCAGGCCATTGTGGTGGGGGAAAAGGTTGGGGAAACATGTTTGAACCTCTAGGTTCGCCTTCGACAGAGGACGGCGGGCCGCGCGGAGGGAAACTTGAGTGTGCTTGCTGATGTAGCTGTGTGAGAGGCATGTTGCCCGTTGCCTCGAGAGCCCATGGAATATTCGGATGTGGGTCAAAAGGAGGCTCAAGAGGCCAGTCGGCTTTCCAGTACACGATGCTGTTGCCACTGCTGAGAGCGTTCGTGTGTTTCGCAGCAAAGTGCTGAATGACCGCTTCGAATGCAAACAGCTTTTGATTGTCACACACGTGACAGAGGAAGAGTTCCCTTCCAAAACTCTCCGTGTGCCGCCTCACAAATTCTTCATAAACCCATTTCATATCCTCTAGTCTCAATTTCCTGAAGGCAAGAGACGCCGCGTCCTGGGGAAAAGCGGTTCCTTTCAACTCAAGCATTCGATCCTCTTGAGAAACCACCTCATCGAAGCGTTGTCGCACATGACACAGGACCTCCGCTGCGAACTTGCATGCCGTCGCCTTCGTCACAGCACGTCCATCGGACCACGTCTGATGTATGAATTCCTGGGCATATTTCTGTAGCTTATCTCTGGCAGGGACCTTCAGTTCGAGCCACATGTGGCTTGTATTTGCCTGGGCAACGCGCTGCTCTTCTTCCAGTTGTTGGCGCTTTTGGAGTTGCATGTTTGGGTCTCTAAGAGCAACCTTGCTCTCTCGGTGTTCGGCATCTGCGCGCTGGGCTAGAAGACGAGGTCTCAATATCTCCCATGCCTTGTCATCAAGGGGCCGTGAGATCAGAATCGCAGCCTGGAACGCATCCATATGCGCCAGTGTCGAGGGCATTATGGGGGGCTCAAGGGCAAGACAGCGTCTCTCAATTTCTTTTCGGCGCTCAGCCCTTGTCTCTTTTGCTTCTTTCAGACTACGCTCGGTTTTCTGGCGCGGAGGATGGACTAGCGTTTGACCAAGCAGGCCTGGATGGGTAAGCGGGCCGGTGGTTCCCAGAGGCTCTTGCCCCGGGGCTGCAGAGAAGTGAGGCAAGACCCGTTTTGGCGTTTGGATAGATGGGCGCCGAGTATCTGTAGGAGAACCTTATCAGCGCTGCAGATGAGAGCATCCCTGAAGTACGACAACAGAAGGAATTGAGACAATTCAAAACAACCAGATGATTGCTCACCCTCATGAACGCCAGGAGTGGAAAATCCCGAAGTCACGTCGCCAGAAGGTGTTCCCACAGCAGAGTTCACAGAAGCTTGCTGCATGTTGTCAGGTACTTGCATGAGGTCTCCTTGGCTCGCAACACGCCTGGACGAAGCAATTGCGCTGTTTTCATTTTGGCCTAACTGTGTGGGCACCCTGGAGAAGCCACCTTGGAGTTCCCATTGCTCGAAACGCGCAGCATCAGCGTTGCTTTGCTGTCCCAAAGTCTCGAGCCCTTTATACCATTCTGTGATTGTAGCAGCTCCCAGAGCCTTTACGTCGTGGAACTCGGATTGAAGTTCTTCCAATTGAGGCCGGAAATAGTATTTGATCAGCTCGAGGTGCGGAGGGGGTGACTTCTGCTGGATCAGCTGGGATGGAATGTAATTCAAGTCCTGTGTCAGGATCGCAAAAGGCAGACCGGGCCTGAGTGCCGAATGGGTAGAGACAAGCAACTCTGCGTCCTACCGGAGATCAGACACTGCACGAGATTCAGAACCACAGGAAAACCTCACCTTTATTAACCTGAGCTGCAGACAACGGCCACAGGTCCTAACTCTGAATGGCCAGATAGGCCGAACGCCATCCAGTCCAGGCCCAGCATCCCAGGGTTCAGATGTCGACGGGTGTTGCTCGCGAGCAGTTTTCTTTCCGCAGAATTGGCATGCATGACCGCGAACGAGTCTCCACATTTCCAGCTCTGTCATCTTGTCCATTGGCTTTGGAAAGCCCTGAAGGAACGACCTGCGAGATGTGGCCCAAACAAGGTCCTGACTCCGCATAGTCAAGTGCATGAACTGGCTAGATGCAGACTTTTGTGGTAGGAGGCATGCGGGATCAAGGAGTGAACGAAAGGAGCGGTTGACACAGACCAACCGTCCAAGAGAAATGGGATCAACAAAAGTGAAAATATGTTGCAGGACTTCGCAAGGTAGCTCCGCCAGCATCAAAGGCTGGCGCAGAGAGGCTCTCTTGGAGCCTGCAGGAGAGCTAAGCCCCGGCGTGCCGACTGAGAGCTTGAGCCGTTTACTCCGCTCCGTATCGGGCCCAAGTGAAATGGCTGTCGCCGCATGGTCCGCAGCGACGAGTCCTTGCTCAAGCTTGAGGGTAGAATTTTCTGCAAGGTCAGGAGATCTAGGTCTCTTTCGCCGGCCTTTTGCAGGGGCGAAAGTCGATCCATCGGTGAAATCCATGGCACGCGGCTATGGAGACCATTTGCAGAAGAAAATAAAAGGAAAAACTCAACAGATGGATCCTGTTTGAGGAACGAAAATATCAGCGCCAGGAGCCGGTAGCCAGGTGTGCTAGCCAGTCTGGATCTGATGAAGAAAGAAAGAAAAACATTTCGAGCAGAGCAATCGCTATGCTCGAACAACAGGCGGCAATGATGTCGCAGAGAGCACGGCTTTGGAGGACTTGTCGTGCCCAAAACCTTTGCTTGTTGGATCCTTGAGTAGTCGAGACAACAGGAATAGAGGGTCCCGAAAGGAAGCTATTGCCGGCGACCGGGGCTGTCAATTGCTCAGAAGCGCGTTTTGGGTCGACCAAAGGCAGAGGTGTCCGTGACTGGTGTGGTATTGAGGGATTTCGAACCGGATGAGGAATCAAGGTTGGGCTGCTCAGCAGCGGTTCGTGGAAAAGAGGGTGTTTTACCGCAAAAAGGCTGTGTAGGCCAAGTCAACATGCACAAGGAAATCCTAGGTGCAAGTAACTGAGCATCAATAGTTCCCTGTCGTTGCGTTAAGCCGGGTGCTGGATGCGATGTTGGTGGGGATGAGGAGAAAGCGCAGGCGCAGTTGGCGAAGTGAGAGAGGAAAGGGAAGTGCAGCCTGGGCCTGCGACTGCGACTTGCGACTGCGATGGCTGGTCACGGGCTTGACAGCGAGCGAGACCGAGCCCGATCACATGATGCTTTCCTATTTAGCGTCTTGGCATATGCCATCATCAAATGCGCAGCTGAGCGACCATCTTGCTCTCGTACCTACTCTTGCGTACTCCAACCCCAATGGCACTAACCCACCAGGTAGAGTAAGCTGTCTTTCAATTCTCCATCTTAATTGTCCGCCTTTCTCACTGCTGGATCCTGTAGCCTGCTCCGAAAAATTACAGCACATTGCTTTCCTCTGAATTTCCGATAGAATCTCCAAAACCACCCGGAACTGCATTCCAACCGGCGGGGAAGCAGACACAACCACACGGCAACCTGGTCTACTTTGACCACCTTCATTCTCCTCCCCTTTTCTCGGTAGCCATGGCTTCTCTGAACACCTCGACCAACGGACCTTCGATCTCCAAGAGCTATCAGTCCGTTGTCAACGCTCCTCCTCCAACCGGTCCAACCGCCGCTTCGCCCACGTATGGTCAATGGGCCGTCTTTTCGGTTTCGGCTCCTCTTGCCAATGCTTTTCAGCAGGATTCGGGAAATAAAGAGAGCGTGTTAAAGGTACAAAGCACGGGAGAAGGCGAGCTGGTCGATCTGATTGACGAATTCTCCGATGGCCGCATCCAATTTGCCTTTGTCAAGGTCAAAGACTCCAATACGGGTCTTCCCAAAAGTGCCCTCATTGCCTGGTGTGGTGAAGGCGTTCCCGAACGAACCAAAGGCTATTTCACGAGCCACCTGACTACAGTTGCCAAATTATTGCATGGCTATCACGTCCAAATCACTGCGAGATCAGACCGTGACCTCACCCCCGACAGTATCATCCAGAAAGTCGCGGATGCCTCAGGTTCTAAATACTCTTCAAGCACCTCTGCTGCGGCAGCTCCTCCTCCAGTTGCTGCAACCAAGCCCACTATTGCCTCAAAACCTGTCTTTACCCCTACCCAGAGTACTGGAGTTTCCACCGGTTATAATCCTGTAGCACGCAATCTGCCCAGAAAAGATGCCAATGTGGATGAGGATGGATGGGGCGCGGACGCTCCTCCGGTCACGAGAACGCAGTTGGAGAAAGTAGCACCGGCCTATCAGCCTACAAAGGTCAATATGAGAGACCTTACAACACAAAGGTCTGCTCCGCCACCCTTCACCAGCAGCCAGACGGACGATCGGCCTGAAGTGGTCAGAGGCGCGTATCAACCAGTCGGGAAAGTTGACATTGCGGCCATTCGACGTCAAGCCCAGGAATCGGGCGCCCTAAAAGACGACAGACCGGAGCCCGTCAAGGGTGCTTATGAGCCTGTTGGCAAGGTTGACATTGCGGCCATTCGCGCCAAAGCGCAGAGACCCGAAGACTCGGCTGGCTTTTCGCGGCCGCCTCCTGTCTCAAGCCCATCGACCGATCCTTCGGAAGAACCAGAAATGCCCCCTCGTTCGCTGGCGGAGAGATCTGCGGTCTTTTCGCAAGGGCCTGAACGTTTGACGTCCCTTCCCAAGCCGAAAGTGGCCAACAAGTTTGGTGGTGGCTCGACTTTCACCGGAACAAAAGCACCGCTTCCCGGTGGTTTCGAGGCCAAACCTGTGGCACCGGCTGCCCCTGTGGGGACGGCGAGTAGAACGTTCGCTGACCAAGGTGGGAAGACACCTGCACAGCTTTGGGCTGAGAAGAAGGCTCGTGAGAGAGGTATGAGCGGCTCGGGCGAACCGCCCGTATCACCCTCTGGGTATACCGGACAGCCTCCCATCGCCACGCAAAGGAGCGGTGAAAGTGGCTGGAAAAGTGGCTATACAGGCAAGACCTGGGCGCCTGTGCAAATTACACATACTGGCCGCAGCAGTATAGGGCAACAAGTGACGGGTGAGGGCATGAAGGCGGTCGAGGAAGAAGAGGCTCCAACTTCTCCAGCCGGGGGAATCAGCTCACTTCGTGATCGCTTCAGCGGAGCGCCGCCGATGGGAGCGCCAGCGTCATTCGACCGCGCACCGCCTCCGGCTCCGGAACCGGATACAAGTAGCAAACCCAACCGTGGCATTCCAATTCCGGGCCTGCCCCTGTCGAGGCCCATGGAGGAAGAGTCGGCACCGGGATTGCCTCCACCACCTGCTCAACCACGAAGTCCAACCCCCGAGGAGGAGCCAGAGCCTCGTAGTGGCTCTCCTATTCGCATAGCTATGCCAGTCAGCGCCTCCGCGCATGTTGCCGATGCACATGAGGAGCAACTATCTCCTCCGCCCGTGATGCCGGCGACTTCGATGGCGCGGGCGATTCCCACACCAGCAGCACACGAGGATGATGAAGCAGCTCGAGAGCCAGATTTGGGAAGAACGGTAGCCGTAGCAGCGGCAGCCAGTACTCTAGGCTCTGCGGCGATTGAGTCTGCTCCTGCACCCGCCCCTACGGCTGGAGGTGAACGGGCTCGGGCGGAATATGATTACGAGGCAGCGGAGGATAACGAAGTATCACTACGCGAAGGTATTACTCTCCGGTCGAGTGACAATCGAATCGGTTGCTGACCATATAGGTGAATTGGTCACGGATATTCAACGAATTGATCCAGATTGGTGGCTGGTCAAGAACGAGGCGGGACAGGTGAGTGAATTCCCTCGAAGGAAGAAGAGACGAGTGATTCTAACCAGGACACAGACCGGACTTGTACCCAGCAATTACCTCACCGTGTTAGATGATGGTGACGCTGGCGGTGCTCCAGCTCCAGCCCCAGTACCAGCTCCTGTCGCAGCAGCAGAACCAACTCCTCCAGCGCCAGCTCCGGCAGCCGCTGGGGCCAAAGGGGCGACAGCAACGGCCCTCTTCGACTACGAGGCTGGGGAAGACAATGAGCTGTCATTCCCGGAGAATGCGATCATCACCAATGTGGTAAGTGTGGGACTTGATGGGAGTGTCCGCCTCAGAGGACTTTGCTGACGAAGGTTCCCGTAGTCATTTCCCGACGAAGACTGGTGGCACGGCGAGTACAACGGTCATGCTGGACTTTTCCCTGCCAATTATACGAAACTAAACGATTGAGAGCGAGGAATGTACCGGAACGGACATTCTGAGCTTAGACTAGCATTCCGTAGATCGAACGGATCGAAAAAAGTTTTTTTTTTTTTTTCCAAGCCATGTAGGTAGTCTGTGTCTAGCATATGCATCCCAGATCAAATGACGCATGGGAAAGATTTTGGCAGCGGCAACACATGGGATGTAGCGAGGGAGATGGGCGAAAGAGGGGCAGAGGGACGAAGAAGAGGGAGAGTGGTTGGTTGTCTACCAAGTAGGTGGAAGACGATCCAGGGCGGTGACCGAGAAGAGTTTAGAGCCATGCAGCACCTGTGCGAGCTTTCCCAATTCTGCCGTGCCTAATTAGTTCTAATGCCTTTTCTTTCCCCGGACAAAATTTTTTCATGGTGATCAAGGCGAGAAGCAAAGGCAAAAAAAGAAAGGTGACTCGTCCACGCAACAGGAGAATTTTTCATGATGGTTGCTGTAGATCGAATCGTGTAGGAGTGGACGAGGCGAAGCAGGGCGTTGTTAGGATTCACCATACCGAGTACCCAGTACTGGTAGTCAAGTCACATGTAGATTTTGCTCTCTCGCATGTTATGTACCACAGTGCATTGACCTGAACAGAGACACAAGCGAGAGCAGAGAGAAACAAAGCGAAAGAAAATTCTTATCTCTCGATCCCCCACTGACGTTTGCTTGTAGTTTGCAGCTTATCCATTGGCTCCCGCAAATCTGAACGCCTTCGATCAGCCGCCGCACTTTTTTTCTCAGCCCAGTAGCCCGGTGTGTTTGGTGGCTTGGGCTTGCGAGTCAATCCAGTTTCTCAGTGCTGCATTTCTGCCCTTCTCTTCTTGACACCCCCCATAACACAGAGGCTGCCTCGCCAAAGTCCTCAAGTATAGAACTTTCCCGAGCTGGTTCTGCGCAGTGACTGAGTGGAACAGTGCGTTCTATCTCGCCTGCCAGCAATCCACTCATTGGCTCGAACCGCAATGGCGTCGACCACGCGAGCTCTTCGCCAGGCCAGCGGGATTCTGCTCCGAGACTGCGCTCCTGTCTCACGACTCTCTGCACGCCATTTCTCTACTCGCACCCCCTCGCTCGCTGTCAGACAGCACCTGGTCAACCCCAAGACGCCCTCATGGCAGCAAGTCAAGAGATTCACGCGGTCGACCAAACGACGTGCTCTGGTGCAAGAGGCCCCCCGCCCAGAGGCTTACTTGGAGAGCGGTGCCATCGAGTATGGGAAGAACCTGGTCGATGTGAAGAAGGTCATAGTCATTGGGAGTGGCGGGCTGAGCATCGGGCAAGCTGGGGAGTTTGACTATTCTGGTATGTACCTGCAGACACTGGTGACTCAGTCGAGCGCAAAATGCTTCCAAATCACCCCTGTCACTTGGATGCCGTCTTGGATCACGGGCTGACAGACAGCTGCAACAGGGTCCCAAGCGCTGAAAGCACTCAAAGAAGCTGGCGTCAAGTCCATCCTCATTAACCCTAACATCGCGACCATTCAAACCGACCACAAGCTCGCCGACGAGGTCTACTACCTTCCAGTCACTCCGGAATATGTCACCTATGTCATTGAGAGAGAGAAACCCGATGGCATTCTCCTCACCTTTGGCGGCCAGACAGGTCTCAATTTGGGTGTCAAGATGAACAAGATGGGCATATTTGATCGCTACGGCGTCAAGGTCCTGGGGACCAGTATCAAGACTCTCGAGACAAGTGAAGACCGGGATTTGTTTGCCAAGGCCCTCAACGAAATCAACATTCCTATTGCCCAGTCCATTGCCGTCAGTACCGTGGACGAAGCCCTTGACGCTGCTGAGAAGGTCGGATACCCCATCATCGTCCGCTCCGCCTATGCCCTCGGCGGTCTAGGGTCCGGCTTTGCCAATAACCCTGAAGAGCTCAGCAATTTGTCTTCCCGATCTCTGTCCCTGTCGCCTCAGATTTTGGTCGAGAAATCTCTGAAAGGCTGGAAGGAAGTCGAGTACGAAGTGGTTCGCGACGCTGAGGACAACTGTATCACCGTCTGCAACATGGAGAACTTTGATCCCCTCGGCATTCATACGGGAGACAGCATTGTTGTCGCGCCAAGTCAGACTCTGAGTGATGAAGAGTATCATATGTTGCGGACAGCCGCCATCAAGATCGTCCGACATCTGGGAGTGGTTGGTGAGTGCAACGTCCAGTATGCCCTCCAACCGGACGGACTTGACTACCGTGTCATTGAAGTCAATGCTCGCCTTTCGCGGTCGTCAGCGCTGGCATCCAAGGCGACCGGCTATCCCCTGGCCTATACAGCTGCCAAGATCGGCCTCGGGCATACCTTGCCGGAACTGCCCAACGCCGTGACCAAGACCACCACAGCGAACTTCGAGCCGAGCTTAGACTATATCGTGGTCAAGATCCCTCGCTGGGATCTATCCAAGTTCCAGCACGTGAAACGTGACATTGGAAGTGCCATGAAATCTGTGGGAGAAGTCATGGCCATCGGCCGCACTTTCGAGGAGTCGTTCCAGAAAGCTATCCGGCAGGTCGATCCCCGGTACGTGGGATTCCAGGGCGACAAGTTTGACAATCTGGACGAAGTTCTTCGCAATCCCACCGATCGAAGGTGGTTGGCCGTCGGGCAAGCTATGATCCATGAGAACTACTCGGTGGACAAGGTCCATGACCTCACCAAGATTGATAGGTGGTTTCTCCACAAGTTGCAGAACCTTAAAGACACAATGACGGAAATCAAAGAGATTGGCTCTCTCAACGGCATCAAGCACGAGCTGATGCTGAAGGCCAAGAAACAAGGCTTTTCTGACAAGCAGATTGCCATGTACGCCAATTCTACCGAAGGAGAAGTTCGAGCTCGTCGACAGAAGCTTGGTATTCGACCCTGGGTGAAAAAGATTGATACCCTGGCCGCTGAGTTTCCCGCCGACACTAACTACTTGTACACCACCTACAACGCCTCGTCTCACGATGTCACCTTCGAAGACAAAGGGACCATCATCCTGGGATCTGGGGTCTACAGAATTGGATCCTCTGTCGAATTCGATTGGTGTGCTGTTAATGCCACATTGTCTCTGCGCAAGATGGGCCAGAAGACGGTGATGATCAATGTAAGTTACGTTTTTGGGTTTGAGCATGTCCAATTGAACGAGGTGCTGTCCGGATGGATCCTCACCTGCCTTCGGGGTGGACCGCAGCCATCCATTGGACACGACGGGTCGTGTTCCCGCCCTTGGATTTTCCTTTTTCCTAATGTATTTGTCGTTTCAATGCATATACTAATATGTCGTTCCAGTATAACCCGGAGACCTATTCCACCGATTTCGACACCGCTGACAAGCTCTACTTCGAAGAGCTGTCATACGAACGCGTCATGGATATCTACGAGCTTGAAAGCGCTTCGGGCGTCGTTGTCAGCGTGGGCGGCCAGCTTCCGCAAAATATAGCACTTCGGCTGCAGGAAGAGGGCAAGGCCCATGTACTGGGCACCAATCCAGTTGATATCGACAAGGCTGAAGACCGTCACAAGTTCTCGCAGATCCTTGACTCGATTGGCGTGGACCAACCTGCGTGGAAAGAGTTGACCTCGGTGGCAGACGCCGAGGCTTTCGCTGACTCGGTGGGTTATCCGGTCCTTGTTCGACCATCCTATGTTCTTTCGGGCGCTGCCATGTCAGTCATCTATACCCATGAAGAGCTGAAGGACAAATTGGAATCCGCCTCGGCGGTTTCCCCCGATCATCCTGTCGTCATCACCAAATTTATCGAGGGTGCTCAGGAAATTGACGTTGACGCCGTGGCATCAAAGGGAGAGCTAATTCTACACGCCGTGTCCGAACACGTGGAAGCTGCAGGTGTGCATTCTGGTGATGCTACCCTGGTCCTCCCTCCGGCCAATCTAGATGAGAAAGTGATGGCTCGCGTCAAGGAGATCGCCCGGAAAGTGGCCAAAGCTTGGAATATCACGGGGCCTTTCAACATGCAGATCATCAAGGCTGATGCACCTGGTCAAGAGCCGGCACTCAAAGTCATTGAGTGCAATCTTCGTGCTTCGCGATCGTTCCCTTTTGTCAGCAAAGTGCTTGGGACCAACTTTATTGACGTGGCAACCAAAGCTTTGGTTGGTCAGAATGTCCCAGAGCCTCGGGATCTCATGGCTGAAAAGCGCGACTACCTGGCCACCAAAGTTCCACAATTCTCCTGGACTCGGTTGGCGGGCGCTGATCCTTTCCTAGGCGTTGAGATGAGCAGCACGGGCGAGATTGCGTGCTTCGGAAAAGACCTGATCGAGGCATACTGGGCCTCGCTGCAGTCAACCATGAACTTCCGGATGCCTGAGCCTGGGGAGGGAATCCTGCTTGGCGGATCGACCGAGCTTCCCGAGCTTCCCAAGATTGTGGCATATCTTCAACCGTTGGGCTATAAGTTCTATGCCGCGAGCCAAAACGTGAAGCAGCACTTGGAGAAGTCCGGTGCCTCGATTGAAGTGATTGACTTTCCCACGACAGATAAGAACGCGCTTCGACAAGTATTCCAGAAGTACGACATCCGGGGAGTCTTCAACCTTGCAAAGACTCGAGGTAAGACGTTGGTGGACGAAGATTATGTGATGAGAAGGAACGCCGTGGACTTTGGTGTCCCTTTGTTCATGGAGCCCAAGGTAGACTCGACCCTCTCATCACTGATATGATGGCATGAACTAACTGAGCTTCCAGACCGCATTACTGTTTGCTAAATGCATGAATGCTAAGCTTCCTCGACAGGAAGGAATTCCTCCGGAAGTCAGGAGCTGGAGTGAATTTGCGGGGTCGAAGATGATGTAATACCGGGAGGTCCACTTATACAGGACAAGGAGAAAGAGCATCGGTGGTTTCAGACAACCGCAACGGGATATTCTGGGCATCAATTGTGAAAAAGCGAAGAGTCTGTAACAGGCACAAAAGTTTTTCTAGACCACAGAGGATGGCGCCGGCGGGGTGGCTATCGGACGATGTCTAGGGACAAGCTTGTCTCGTGGCGGCTAAGTTTTTAGGACGGCGAGCAGATTTCCTTTTGCCTCCAACGAGTGGATCAGAGGAGCATAGACAATCAGGGGATGTACCGAGTACGGTCAGTAGGTTGACTAAGATTTTGCTATATAGGGCGGAATCCGGAGCCTCGTCGGTTATAGCGGAGAGACCAAAGAAGACTAGAGTCTTGGCATCTCAATAGCCGACCCCCAGATCCGAGGCGTGTAGGGAGTGGAAAGGCGGCCATTCACTTGTCCGCTCGTTAATCTCCATCTCCACCTCCAGCACCCCGGAGTCCCTTTCGGCTCACTGGGCCTGCACACGCTGAATCTGACGCATGAGGAGCAAAATGCCTCGGAGCGATCAGCTTCCTCACCTCCCGAACGTGCCTGCCGTCGCGGAGCACCCCTACGGCATCTCCTGCTGAGCCAGCTGTTTTCTCGAAAAGCAGAGCCATGACGGCCTTGCTCCCTTTGTCATGGCTGATGCCAACTGCAGAATCGACGTATATAATGCTTCCTGCCTGGTGAGAGAAGGTTGATTGTGCCGTCTATGCTACATACGCAAAAGGCCGGTTGAGCGAAAAACCGTAGTCTCCTCTATCATTCAAAGCCAAATTCACTGCTCCATAATCATCTTTAGACACCGGGCCCACGGCTCTATCATCGATAGAATCGACCTAACAGAGTCAAACAACAAACATGGTGTACAACGTCCCCCCCGAGGAAACCGAGCCCATCGTCACCTCTCACATCAACGGCACCACTGAGGAGATTCTCGCCAGATACTGCGTTACTGAGCTATGCAAAGGGTGGCCCGTCTACCGCGACGCCTCGGAATGGAAGAACTACCGCAGCTTGTTTGCCAAGGAGGGGGCCTACGTATGGACGAGTAAGCCATCACCTCATCTCACAAAGGAAGGGCATGTGAGGAACCTAATGACTGAGACTTTTGATTTTAAACAGCCTGGTCCGGTGGCCTCCCAATTGAGAAATTCATCGAGGTCTCCATCAAAGGCCGCGCCAACGGCGACTTTATCATGCACCGCGAGAACGGCACCCTCGCCAACGTGAACCTCGCCACGCAACGCGGCCTCGGCAAGATGAAGGCCACCATCACACAACGATTCACGATCCAGGGCATCGCCGTCGACGTCGAGTGCGACTGCCGCTTCATCTTCTTCTGCAAGATCGACGAGGGCGCGTGGAAAGCCCAGTACGTCAAACTCTTTTACGAGAAGGACAGGGTGGTCCCCGTGGACGGCAAGGCCGTGCCGCATTTCCCCAAGGAGGAGCTGGACAAGTACACCGAGGGCTACAAGTATCTTGCCGTGGCGCAGAACTTGCTGGGTCACCCGATCCTGAACGATCTGCCCAACGCCGAGAACCAGGGCTTCTTTGACATGTACAAGGCCATGGCCGACTGGCTGCAAGGCCAGGAGATCAACTTGTTCTGGGAAAAGTAGAGATGATTACCAACGAGTTTCGACAACCCCAACTCAACCCAACTATCCCACGGGGACGATGTGACACACGCTTCACGGCGCAAAGGGTTTGCATGAGCATATTATGAAAACGGGTACGCGGGATGTGGAGCATTTTGTAACATGTACACACCTACATACAATAGACAACATGTATCTTTTCGGGAGAAAAGAAAAGGAATGGAATAATACATTCAATCACACCAGCATTAATTACCACCAACTAGCCTTGATTTCTCTTTTCGTTTGGATCGTGTGCTGGGTATTATAAGCGTTACTTAACTACAGGGACAAAGCCCCTTAACTAACTAGTTGTTCATCACCATCGCTTCCTTTCCTCCTTTTGTTTTTGGGTTGTCATTGCTTGCTTGCTTGCTTGCTTGCTTGCTTGCTTGCTTGCTTGCTTGTCTACTGCTTGCTCGCTCGCCGGGCGTATATAGTCATGCTAGGGGTCATAATGATAGTAACGGCGACCGCTCATAGCTCACCATACAAATCGAAAGGAATGCTGCTCAACCAGGACATGTCGCCGCTGAGAAGATCGAGATCGAGATCGAGGTTGTCGAGGCTGAGATTGAGCGAGAGATTGGGATTGGGATTGTGATCGAAGGACGACAATGCCAAGGAGGGGAATATCCCGCCGCCCCCACCCCCGCCGGTGCTGCTTCCACTGCTCAGCATAAACGCTTGAGACGGCGCGGATGCTTTCGCGTCGTCTGTGGTGGCGTTGGTACTTAGTATGGTTTGGCCTGTGACGTTGGTAGGTCGAGAAGGAGGAGCAGGAGGAAAAGGACTCGCACCAGTCCTGTGGTGGTTCACAGCCGTCCAGTTCTGGACACTGTGGTTGACGCTGCTGCCGCTGCCGAAGGGTGGGTCGATATCGGCACTGTCCGCGTGCGGCAGGAGGTTTCCCTGTTGCGCAGTCTCATCACCGGTGTTTCTGTTGCTGCGCTGTGTCTGCACCGCCGCCTGCGTCCCGGTCCGGCCCCGGGTTTCGGCCTGGGTTTGGACTTGGAACTGGCGATGACGAGGCGGGATCTGATCAAACAGAAAGCCCACGGCCGCGGCGCACCGTTTGGCATGTTTGCCGAAGCTACCATACCTCTGCAGCGCCGTGGTCGCGGTGCGAGCGGCGCTCATGATAACCTCCTCGCCGCCCACCTCGGCTTCGATGGTCGAGTTGAGCCGCGCGGCAACAAGGACCGTCGCCGCCGTGTACAGGTAGAAGATACTGTACCACCACGCGGGCAGGAGATCGTCGAGTAGCTCCAGCTGGCACTCCGAGTGCACCTTGCCGAACAGGGCGACAGTATTCAGTGCGCTTTGCACACACATGACCGAGCACTGCAGCGCGAGCTTGCGGGCGAGGGTGTCTTCTTCTTCGACGACGGCGGTGAGGTCTTCGTCAATATGGCTGGTCGTGCAGAAGCGAGACAGGACCGGTCGGAAGAGGAGTGTCCGAATGTGGCAGTATCGAAGGTACAGGACCTTGGCCTGCCGGGCGTGGATCATGTCCGTGTTGTTGTCCTCGCGAGAGTACCGGAGATGGCAGGGCAGCCGGCGTTGCCAGATCCAGTATTTGTTGTCCATTTCCAGCACGGTGCCAGCTGCGTTTGCGCCCGGGGCGCCGCCGCCAAAGTATCGGGTATAGCTGTCCTCTTCTGAGTCGGACGCCTCTGCTGATGTGGGGCTGTAGAGCGCGACCAGAGTCTCGCTCATAGTTTCGTACAGCTTGAGAGATTCGATGAAGAAATGAAGATCAGGAGAAGACGGCTGCAACACGTAGAGTTCTCTGTGGCAAGAGCAGCACTCGCTTGACTCCGGGTGGGGATGTGGCCTAGGCACCGAGGCCGCAGCTTGGGGAGTGATGATGGCGGGACGTCCGAAAGTCATAGACAGTGTCCGGTCCATGAGGACACAGCCGTGCCAGACCTTGCGGAGGAAGTCATTCGGCTTGCCATTGGGTGTCCGGCTGCTAGTGGAGGGTAAATCGAGACCGAGGCTCTGAGCGATCCGGATGGCCAAACCCGCAAAAAGCCAGCACTGCTGTGGCTCGCTGGTGCTCTGGAGGTACTGTGCGAGGAGAAGGAGACACTGGACGGTGTGCACGGAGCGGTATTGCAGGAACTCAAGGTCGAGATACACAAGAGCGCGTTTGTGGAAGACTTCGCCGGAGCTGACGCGATCCGAAGGGCGAATGGACGAGTCCAAAATGCAGGATATGGCGAAGATGGCGTTGAGAAGACATATGAAGCAGACCTCGTCATCCATTGTGGGATTCCCGGTCCAGAGACTCTGGTACTTGCCCATGAAATCGTCCTTGTCGACGAAAGGATACAACGGATCCACGATCCTCCAGTAGACCTCCAGGAGGCGGTCCGCCTGTTGTCGGGAAGGGAGGACGTAGTCAGGGTTCTTGAACCGTCGTTGTCGCTGTGAACCGGCCACTGCTAGTGATACCGTCGAGTGTGATTGTTGGGCGGGATCTGGAGTCAGCTGCTGGTCCAGGGCGGACTTGATGCGGTTCATGAAACTCGCAGCGCTGGAGTCGCCCACAATGCCCGCTTCACCCGGTTCGCCTTCCTCCATCAATCCCATCATTGCATTTGCGCCACTGTCATGATTTCGATCAGATGTCGACTGAGGCGTAGACGGCTGGTCAACGCTCTCTGGCCGCTTCGATCGCCGTCCAGCTCTTTCCAACTCGTCGATGCGAGACTGTAGGCGTATAATCTCCAGTTTGGAAGCTCCGATGCTGCGTGTCTTCCTCAAGCCCCATTCGCAATGAGCTTTGGTGCCATGTCTTCGCTCACAGGGCCGGCACAGCGGTTTCCGTCCATCGCACTTGATCTTTTTGTCCCTACATTGGTCGCACGCTGCAGCAACTTTCTGTCTCTTTGCTGGCCTAACACTGCCGTCGATGGTCTCTGATTCATATTCCTGGAACGGTGAAGCTGACGAAAGTCCTGAGCCTCCCGCAGACATGATTGCTTTCCTCGTTTTTCTCCCCGGCTTTACCATATCAAGAAGTGACCAATCATTAATCCGGCGTTTCTTTACCCTGAGTTGGTGAGAGGTTGCTGGTCAGGCTTAAGTTGAGGCATGCGAGAGGCGGGGATGCAATGCCGACAACTGCGGTTCCATCGGAATCGGGGCCAGAGATTATCCGAGGCCGACGCACGAGGCTGCAAGGCTGCGCTCACAGGGGTCACTTCCCTCCTTTTGCTGTTGAAGGGGCATCACGCAGAAGACGGTGGTGAATGGTGAATGAGGCATTGGATCATAAATTGTCATCTCGAATGTGGCTGAGCTTGAAGCCAAGATTCGTGATTGTCGCCCGTTGGCAACATTTACTGCACCAGTCAGGGGGATAGAGGCTGGGCTTATGTTCTGTAAGTCTGGACTTCGGCTATTCCGAATCCGCCCTGCCTATTCGTTCTCTAGACGCCAGCCTCATTGCTGCGGCCACTTTCGCTGAGATCATGTCAATCATGTCGATACCTCTTACAGTATCGAGAACAAAGTCTGCTCTCGCTCGAACATTCTGCCACCAGTGTTGGTTGAAGCACTTCGATCAAACATGCCGGTTGAACCGCTATCCATCGTCGTCGCCTGTACCAGCCTGATCTCGAATGTTGGTAAAACCTCGCTGGACATCTACTCGTTCGTATCGAAAGTGCGAGATGCCCATCGTGACTTGGATGCTGTACTGAAGGAATTGTCTTCTCTAGGACTCTGTTTGGAAACACTCCGGAATGATGCCATGGTCACCTCTAAGGGAGTACCCCAACCACTTGAGCACAGGGTCCTGCTCATCCTGGTCCACACGGCCGAGGTTGTTAAAGAGATACAAGAAATGCTGGGCAAATTGTCCTCGGACAGATTTGGCAATCACATGAAATGGGCCATGTACGGGCAAAACGACATCAACAAACTTAGAAACCGGCTGGAGTCTCACAAAGCTTCATTAGAGATCGCTCTTGCACTGTTGACTCTGTGGGTGGCTCGCTTTCGCATTCCGTATCCGATCCGCTGACGGACGCCAGATCTCTCACCACCGCCATCAAGGATGATACAAGCAGCATCCGCCGGAATGTCAAGGAAACCGCTTTTGGCCTGGACCAGATTGCCCAAGTTCTAGTGGCGTTGCCAGAACGTGTTGCCGCCCAGCTCCAAGGGAGCGCATTGAACGAAGCAACCATTGTCGACACTATTAGACCAGCTCTGCAACCTGCAGCACCGCCAGAAGCACCGGTGGCGAATTCTACTCGAAAGCTCGAAGGTCTCTTTCCACCCATGAATTCGAACGATCAGACGCTGAGTAACTGCGATGCAGCGGCCATACAACCGAGCCGTGAGGTGGCTGTTACAACTGCTGAGTCTACTCTGGACCAGCTAACCAGCACTACCCAGGACCAGGCATCCCGTTCTCGAAGGTGGAAGGGTCCTCAAATCAAGACTCAGCTGCACAAGGCTACCAAGGTAGCCGACGATAAGAAGGGCGCGATACCGATAATCACACGGGAATATCTACCGGAAAGATGGAATCGCGCGGCGGCGGAACTCGGGCGGCAGAGGCCAGATCGCGCGTTGGAAGATGCAAGGCGGCGGATTCTACGTCGATTAAAAGAGACGGAAGATCAAAAAAAGGCCCGGGGAGAGCCTGAATACAAGTTCAAACCCCAGTTCGAGTCTCTTGGCCCGAACGAGAGTCTAGAATGGGACGGCCTTCGACGACGTGAGATAATTATACACGCACCTAGCGTTCCTGCCCCACAGACTATTCACCCACCTCTGGGTATGTCTCATTTTCCGGACGCGGACAACGATGACGGCTGGCAAGCATATTACACACCCGGGATCTTCGAATCTATCCGGCGCAAGGTTGAGAGTGGACCCAGTCAAGGAGAGCGGCATGAAGAAGAGCGATCACGACTTTGGGACGAGGAGAACAAGCATCGACGTCCGTTTTCCTTCTCAAACTTTTTCAAGCCTAAGGAGGAAGCCAGGCAGGTAGATGAGGAAGAACGAGGACGGCTCGAAGAAGCCAGAGGTAAAGAGAGTCAAGGCGAGTTGTCCCTTAAAGCTCTTACAATGTTGCTCAGATATCGGGCAATTTGGACACCCTTGCACGGTCATTGGATGCTAACATCAATGGAATAGGGAATACGGCGATGGAGAGTGTAAAATACCTGCGAAGTCAAAATGAGCGACTCGGAGACTTCGAAGATGAGTCCGCTGCCTTGGAGCCTGAATATGCAAAGTTCCAGGACTTGGCCTCACAGTCAGGACGCTAATGAGTTCGGAATAGAGAAGGTGCCAAAAAGGCTGAACAAGAACACAAGGAGACAGCAGGGGAGCGAGGACGTGATAGACGGGATGATTGCAGCGACGAGCTTCAGTTCGCTTACGAGATGGGACGAGATGATGCCGGAAGTGCCTAGATATGTATCTCACTACGCGGCAGATGAGGCTGCGTTAAAAGCGGCGAGGTTGCACCGCCCAGGACTGTCCCTGGACTGTCCAAGCCGGCTTGCACATTGAGCTGCACGTGAGTTCGCGATATTCAATGATGACGGCGACTAAGACAAATTCGTTGCCGCAACCACAAAGCTTCGTCCGTCTCCATTTTGGCTCCAGCATGAAGTCTCTGGACGACTCGACTCCCATTCGACCGACATTCAAGAAAGGTATTAATGACCGTAATGAGAGCAAGGAGCCTGGCCAGAATGGGGAAGCCACTTCTCCCTCCCTGAAACCCTCCTCCTCACCGTCGACCACCTCCTCACCATCAACATCCACAAGCACGCTCCCGTTCATCCTCCAAATCTGGGCTCCGACCCTCCTGCTCATATTTGGCGGCTGCTGCTCCAATGTCTACACCCTCGAATCCATCATCCATGCCTCCCCGTCATCGGGATCTCTCATAACAGCTTTTCAATTCCTCCTCGTCTCCCTGTTCACATTACCACGGCACTTCTCCCCTCGTCGCGGTCTGCGAAACCTCTACCTCAGAGAACGTAATATCCCAATCCGAAAATGGGTGGTCTACACTGCTTACTTCCTGAGCATCAACATTCTGAATAACATGGCGTTCAAATACCGCATCGGTATTCCCTTGCATATAATACTGAGGAGTGCCGGCCCGGTCACTACGATGCTCGCGGGCATAGTTTGGAAAGGTCGACGATATCCTACGCAGAAGATCGTGGCTGTGTTGTTACTTTTCGGTGGGGTGGTGTTGGCGGCGTTTGCCGATACGTGGTCCAAGCAGGTTGATATTGGGGCGGCTGTCGAAGAGTTGGACGATTACCGCTCGGCAGCGACAGAGCACCTTGAACCCGCTTCTACAACGTCCGGAGTTTCGGCATTCTCGTCTCAAGCCCCCGGTTTCGCGCTTCTCGCATCCGCACTCGTTCTCTCAGCATGTATGGGTATGTATGCTGACGACATGTACGCCACTCACGGCCGGTCAGCGGAGATCACAGCGGAGACGCTCTTCTACAGCCACACGATGTCGCTACCTTACTTTATCAGTCAATCCCGACCACTTTTTTTTGATTTTTTGAGTCTACTGGCTGTTCCAGGCCACGATATCAATTACCTGTCAAAAACAAATGCACCTACATCTTCCTCTTCCTGGCTAGTTACATCGTCTTCCGTCCTTCCCCGACCGCTCATGCTACTCTTGCTCAACGCCGCTACGCAGCTCCTATGTATTATAGGCGTGAACCGGCTCTCGGCACAATCGTCCTCTCTCACCGTCTCCATCGTCCTCAACGTCAGGAAACTCGTCAGTCTGGTTTTGAGCATCTGGCTGTTCGGGAACCGACTGCCCATGGGCGTGGTGATGGGGGCAGTGATAGTGTTTGTGGGCGGAGGACTGTACGCTTTGCCTGGGCCGAAGGGAGAAAAGAAGGGAGGGAAGATGCCAAAGGAGAAGGAGAAGACGCGGTGATTTCTGCGCAATAAAAATCGCGAGACAAGGCGACGATGAGAAGATGTGAACATGTACGATATGACCGAGAATTGGGATGGGATAGATGGCGCCCCCGAGAAAGCATTGATAGACCAACCAACCCGATAGAAATAGAATCCAAGGGTCAACATGGTAAAGCCCCCCGGGACTGTGAAGGGACCCCGGATGGCACCGATTCATAACAATCAGGCGTTCGTAAGCAAGTCTGGCTGGCTACTATTTGGCGCCGATTGTACTTTTCTGCCCGGTTGTATTTTCCATATGATATAATTCACATTTGATTCAAACGAGCCGTCCAATATTTCCCCAGAATAAGGGGGTCCTTTTCTTTTTTTGGCCCCCTCCCCATCCTCCTACCTTGGCACCATGTTTCCAATGTATACCCCTGCCCGCCTGCATGCCTGCCTGGCCTGCCATCCTTTCCCTAGATCCTCAAAGGGAGTCGTCCGTCATACCTGCGCCTTGCGGCCCCAGCTCAGATCCCCAAACAGCTGTCCGACACCAGCCATGTCCTCCATAACCTCGTTGAAAGCCTCCGCCACATTCCCCTTCACTTGGTTTCTATCCCATTCACTCCTTGTCCTCCAGATCGTGTCCATCAAGACGCTGTTGACCTGTTCCAGTTGCTCCACGGACAAACCGCTAGTTTGATCCGTGATCTCGGTGTGCAGGTTTTCAAGCGCATGTTCCTCGACTTGGATCAAGTTGGGCCGAGAAGGCGGCGGCGCTGGCGTTGGAGGGTGTGATGAAACGGGGGGGTTGAGGAGGTCGTCGATGCGGCTTGCGTTAGAATGCCGGTGAGACTTGACCTCAATAGGTGGAGGCATGGATATGGAATGCTGTGAGCTGTAGTCTTGGTTCGCCTCTTGCGACGAAGACGGACGACTACCTCTGGCTGTATGTTGAGATTGCGAGTTTTGCCCTATCAAGACATTCAGCATTAGGTTTTGGAGCTCATTGGGGTATGGAGATGATATATGGGTGAGAAGACAGCTAAAGTCTAATGCGGGGATGCCCGTACCTTGAGTAGATGGGATCTGACTGCCCCCAACAGACCGCCTCTCTTCAAACGGATATAGATCAGGGCCTGACTCGAGTTGAGTCTCCTGCTGTGTGTCATTGGAGGATGTCTTCTTTTCGTTGGGCGACTGAGTTGTGCTAGCGTCGTTCTGGAATTCCCCCGGATGGCTGCCGTGAGGCATCGGGGTGAAAGCTCCAGTTTGAGAAGGGGGTGCTGACAATCCCGATTCCTTCATGAGCCGTTGCGATGGAGCTGTATATGCATGCCACGGTCTTGTCTGGGCAGAGGCGCGTGCACCGAAAGAGCTGGTCGTGTGCGTCTGCTGCGTCTCGTTGCTCTTATTGTTCGAAGACGGATGCGAGTCTGTACCTTCCATGGGTGTGTCGCCTTCCACATCTGCTTCATGGCCATTTGTGTGGGAACCATTTGTTAACTGTTGTGAATTGTTGTGACTGGGGTGGATGCCGTTCGTAACAATCGATTCCGTTGACTTCGCTTGGGCGGATGGTGGGGCAAGCCGCTGAGCAAAGTCGTTGCGGCGATGCATAGGCTCGCCTAGTAGTATAGGACCTGTGTCATTTGTGGTCGTTGTTCCCGATGCCTGGGCAACGTTTGTCACATTAGGAGGCGGAGGCATCTTGTTTTGTTCGGCTTTCTCCAGAGCCTCTCTTTCCCGTTCCAATTCTCGTTGGTAAACACGTTCGCACTCCGCAGTCAAAGCAGGCTCATTGACTTCCAGGGATCCGATATCGACCTCGACGTTGGCCAAGAGCTCATTCGCCTTTAGCAGTCGGTCTTCATCGCCAATTGCTTTCGCATCTTTAGCCAAGCGCTTGATATCTGCCAGAAAGTCTTTCGGTCGCTTGTAATATCCATTACTCAAACGCTTCTCGATCGTTACAGTGTCCAAATTGTAATAGAAGTTTCCGTTGGCTTGATCAATTAGACCAGGCACGCCATGGGCATCCTTTCCAATCTCGAAGGGTCTGTAGGAAGCTCTGGCCAAGATTTCAGTATGCAAATCAGATGTCACCGTACCTGGATCAGCTTCGTCATAGAGGTAGCGAATGTGGCTCTCATCAATGACACCAGTTCGGAACTTTTTATATTTTGTCCTGATCTGATCCATGATAGGCTGTAATCGAATCTTGAGCATGTTGAGGGTTTGCCGATCACGCTTCTTTTGTGCCTTGAGCTCCTCCTTGGTCAATGTAGTCTTCGGCTTCTCTGGTTCAGGAGGTGCCACAGCGAGCTTCTCTAACTCACGTTTCTTTCGATGCTTCGGATCCGGGAATTCATCTGGTGCCATGCTAATATAGTCTTTGATGCTGCGGAAGAATTCAGACCGTTCTGCATGATTAGGTTCCCTCAACGCGAATTGGTTCTTCTTCGAGTATCCGAAGAATTCGCGTCGCATGGTATCCTCCGTGTCATCATAGTCGCCCTCTGCAAATCCAAGTAACAATACGGGGTCGGTGGGTTTGATGGATCTCAAAAGGCCCACGAAAGTGGAAATTACAGTCTGACCAACTGTGTTGTACCATTCCTGCACATTCGGTATGTAGATGACGCTCGGTTTGTGCATTTTGACTTCAGAAAACAGTCTGATGACCGTGGCTTCGGGTGAACTCGCACTGTCACTAAACAATGTTGGGACATCAAACGCTTGGACATGGAGACCTTCGAAATGATTGAGGAGAGCAGAAGCGACGTATTGTTGACCCATGCCCATCTTGCCATGTATTAACAGTCTAGGACGGAAGACTCTGGTCGTTTCGAATGTTTGTTGCATTTTTTCCCGACCAAAACTGTGACCGTGAGCAGTGTCCTCGTATTGGGCCTCCTCCAGCGCGGTGAGTCTCTTCCTTTGCGGGAGCACCTCCGCTAGCAGCCCCTTGATCTGTTCGAGCTGATTCCGCAGCAGAGGCGCCACAGTAGGGGGTAGCGGAGCAGCGCCGGACGACGCAGACCGCTCCGAAGAAGGTGTCATCTTTTTGAGAGAAATCATAAAATCCTTGGGTGTGACCTCTATCTTCTTTGGATCAATGGCGAGCTTTTCGTTCGAGTTGTAAATCTGAGGGTAGTGGCGCTGCACCGCATTGAGCGCAGCTTCCGTGCATAGAGCACGCAAGTCCGCACCACCATAACCCTTGGTTAATTCAGCCAACTCATCCTTGGTATCCTTGGGCAGAGGGGGATCCCAGCCTTTGGTGTGAATGTCAATGATGGCCTTCCTGGCTTCAGTGCCTGGCAGGGGGAAGTAGAACTCTCGATCAAATCTGCCAGGTCTTCGTAATGCCGGGTCGATGGAATCAGGCCGATTGGTGGCCCCGATGACAATAACCTGGCCTCGCCCGTCCATTCCATCCATCAAAGCCAGCAGCGTTGAAACAATGGAAGCATGAATCTGCTCCTGTTTGCTTGACCGTACAGGAGCAAGGCCATCGATTTCATCAAAGAATATGATACTGGGTTGATTCTTCCTCGCTTCTTCGAAAAGGAGCCGTAATTGTCTTTCAGCTTCACCAACCCATTTGCTTAATGCATCAGCGCCCTTGCGCATATAGAAGGTGACTTTCTTGCCTTGCGAGCTGACACTCGTAGCCAATGCTCGCGCGAGAAGAGTCTTGCCAGTGCCGGGAGGACCGTGGAACAAGACTCCACGGGGAGGAGTAATCTTGAATCGCATAAAGATCTCTGGATAAAGCAACGGCAAAGCGACCATCTCCTTCAACTGGTCGATATGCCCTTGGAGACCACCTACATTATCAAAAGTCACGTTTTGGTCAACTCCAAGAGGGTCGGCATCCGCTAGGGCCTGCTTATCCTTGATCTTGCCGAGATTGGCTGGGGTGCCAGCCGTATTTTGGGCCGCATCCGCGTTGAGTGTTTGCGGAAAGAGGTTGAAACCACCAGCAGTCGTCGGAGTCATCCCAACTGTACCGCCCAGATGCTTAGGTTGTTTCATTGTCTCATCGTCGCTGCTGTCGGAATCAACACCGCCCTGAGCCCTTTGAGGGCCCCCTCCCAGCACAGGTGGCAGACCGCCACCACCACCAAATGGGCCGTAAGTGTTAAAAAGACTCCGGTTCCAACCGCCGCCGCCGGTCTTTCGGGCTCGTGCAGAAGGGGATGGAGCAGCTTCTTCCTCTTCATCAAGCGGAGCAAGACTTCTGAGGAGGTCGTAGTTTGGTTTTTTACCGCCCCGTCGCCCGCGGGGCTCGTAGATGATTTCTTCTTCTTCTTCTCTCGAGCGTCTTGTCTTCCTGCCATCCCGCTTCAACTCTGCGACTTCTGCAGCTAGATCCTCGTCGCTTGCTTCGGACCGTTGGCGAGATGCTGCTTGGCTGCGCAGGCGTCTAGATCTTCGACCTTGGTTTTCGCTTTCAAAATCATCATCGTCGCCATTCTTCTTGCGAGGTGATGCGTTGGACTCACTTGAGCTCGACATGTCGTCTTGATTGGCGGCCTCATCTTCAGGATGGAAGTCACTGCTCTCATCTGGAGCTCTTCGTCGACGACTGCCTGAGGCCCCGGATTTGGCTCCACCTCCAAGAGTCCGTCCACGCAGTCGCTTGGGCGAGTTCTGTGGCTTAAATTCAGGCGATTCCACTTTTCTCTTCGAAGAACCACGCGTTAACCTGCCTCGTGCCGGTCTCACCTCGTCTTCATCTTCATCTTCATCTTCATCATTAACCTCTTCGTCTTCTTCGTCCGCTTTCTCGGCTTCGGCTGGCGCCTCTTCCTGCGTAGCAGCGGGCTCCGGATTGAAGTCGGCGTCACTCTCCACACCTTCAGCTTCTACAACTGCCATTATATCCGAAATAATTTGTGGCAACGGTTCCTCCGCGTGTTCTTCCATCGTTTGAGGATCGCTTTGGAGAAGTTCATGTTGTGATGCCTGTATTTCAAGCTCCTCTTCAACTTCCTCTTCAACTTCCTTTTCGACTTCCGCTTCCTTGGGCTGAGGTTGTGACTCTTCGTCGATAGTACTCTTCGACGGGTATTTAAGACCCTTCCCGCCCTTCATTGCTCTTGGAGGAATGCCTTCTGGATCTCGGGAGCCTTCGCGGACAATCTCAACGTGATTTCCTGAATCGGTCAATTTCATCAGAGGTTCCTCAGGGTCGTGTGAGAGGCGACTGCTTCTTCGCGTAGCAGCAGGATGGGGCGCGGATGAGGTTGTGGGTGGGTTGACAGCGTAACTTCCGCTCCTATTCCTCAAACTCCTAGTCGGGCGGGCCGGAGTGGTCTTGAGGGTGATGATCAGCTTTTTCCGGGGAGTTCCCTTGGCCTGGCGACGAGAGCGCTCGTCCCCTGAGGAGATTGCAAGCTCGTCTTCATCGTCTTCGGAGCTTTCTTCGTACTTGTGTTGAGCTTGTTTCGCGGCCCGTCGAACAGGTCTGCCTATCGCGTTTGTCTCGATTTGTTCTTCTTCCTCATCAGAAAAGGAATCTTCGTCATCCGACACGATCTCGTCCGAGTCACTGTCGACATCGGAGCCCCGATACCCTCTTCTTTGTTTCTTGCGGACCGGAGCGCCTCGCCTCCGAGACTTGGCAGACCGAGATTTAGAGGGTCCAGCGGCTCGGTCATCATAGTCTTCATCATCCGAATCTTCATAGTTGACGGCTTCTTCGATAGTCCTCTTGCTGCCTCGCATTGTAGGCGTGGTGGCAATTCACTTGCGGAGGCACTCGACGGGGCTTCGAGGTGTGCGGCGGATTACTTCAGGAGTGGTTACTCGGCGATGGCTGCAGCTCAACCGCATCCCCCGGATTGCCTTCGATAAGTGCGGCTTTGGAAGAATAGCGCCAGCAAGGATCGAGGGCGTCTGAAATATGGATGGTGAATGACTCTGCAATGAGGGACCGCAGCGCGTCTGTCAGCAAGCGGGTGGTTGTCGCGACCCAATGGAGAAGTCGACTCGGAGACAGACTGGAGGCTGTCACAACAACTCCACTGTCACGACTGAGATGGCGACAGATGCATAATAGTCTGCAGGGACCGTGAGCGATGATGTTTTGATGGATGGCAAGAGTCCAACCCCGAACATCCAACTTTTGGGGGGTCCGCAGTTCGAGAGGCGCAGGCGTGTTTGGTGCCGTTTGGTGCTGCAGGCAACTAGTGGCTAGCGCAGGCAAAAACTGCTAGCCACTCACTGCGCCAAGACCCGCCAACTCCCCCACTTTTTGGGCTGCAGCCAATCACAGTCCCCATTTCCGCAAACACCAACAGGCTGAAGATCTCGTCGCGAGCAGCACTTTCAAAGCATTAGATATTAACATGTCTCAACCGCCGACCCTGCGTGCCGGAGCAGCCTCAAAGATGTGCGGAGCTGGTACCGGAGGGCTATGCGACACTGGCCATGGGTTTTTTCCGAGCTCTCGAAACCGTAGTAGGCCGTATCACGCCTGGGAGAAATTGTAGGAACATTCGATTTAACACCAAGAAGCGGCTGCAAAGATCGACGTCAGATCTCGGTTGTGCCTCGCCAGAAGCTCCCTGCCGCTTGCATTGGCGCCCGCTCAAGGGCAACGTACTTTTGTGTGTCACGTGATGCACACCCACTTCATTCATTTTGATTGATAGCAGTCCTTGGTACATGATACTCGCTCACGCGTGCTGATGCTTTGTTCATTCTAATGATATACATTGGCCTCACTTCATCATGTCATTTCCGCCGGAGTCTGCACCACGCCATCCTCGCCCTCGGCCTCATCAGTCGTCACAGCTTCATCCTCTCCTTCGGTGACCGTGTCGTCATGCCATAACACGGATGCCTGTCGTGTAAGTTCCTCAAGGATGCTGCTCTGCCTCCGCCCTGGTGAAGGGGTTGGTCTGAGATGTTTCTCTTCCGTGGACGACGTATCGTCTTCCGTGCCAGGTCGCCTCCTGGCCCGGAGGAGCGCCTCCTGCGCCTGTTGTTCGAGAACAGGGTTTGGAACACGCGCGTCGTCGTCAATCGGGCCTCCCTTTCGCAGGCCTTCCAAGATGACTCTTTCGATCTTCAGGCGGTTGGAGATGAAACGGATCTTCGGCCAGCAGCAGCGCTGACCGACCATGAGCATTCGATCCAGTCGTTGCGGGCTAGGGTCACTGAGAATGTGCCAGTAGTCGCTGGCGACTGTCTTGGGCCAGATGGTCACTGTGCCATCGAATCGCTGCAGCCAAATCTCACTCCAATCCTGGCCCATTGGTCGAGGCAGCAGTTCCAAGTGACGCAGAATCTTGAGATACTTTTGTAGATCGAGCTTGACCGAGGTCTCAATAGTGGATCCAAGAAATCCTCCGCGCCAACCTCGGCCCTTGCGATGTGTCACTGGCCGACCTGGCGAGCCCCGCGGTGAAAAGAAGAACAGATTGATGTGCGGGTTGACTTGTGAAACAATGGAGAAGTTGACGTTAAAGTGGATGTTGAGCGCTTTCAACGGAATATCGGTTCGCAAGCTTCCGTCTTTCCACTTGTTGCCGAAGGAGTAGGGCACTAGTGTCCCGTCCTTCGTCTTCCGCATTAGGACAATGGGGTTGAGGATTCCAGGAACAGCCGCAGACGCAAGGACCGCCGACCATATGACGCAGTCCGGGCTCGTGATGTGGTTGTTCAAGATTGTCGGGGAATGAGGGTCGGAGGGCACGCATGAGACATTGAGGATGCGGCCAGTTCTCTGGTATGCTTCTCGAAAGGTCAATGAGCCACGGCAAAACCAGCTGCATTGCATGGCCCAATCGAGAGAGTCAAATCTCGCCCCAGTACGCCACCACCTGCGAATCCACGTCGTGAACCCTTCGTGACAGGCTCTGATCCGATACGCCAATGCCGGCACCAGCAGTTTCTTCAATTCCTCGTCTGTTCTGGTGGCCACCAATGCCGCGACCAGAGCACCGCCAGACGTACCGGTGATAATCTCCGGAAGCTGACCAGTATCAAGCAGGGCTTTGATGACACCGAAATGGTAATAAGCAAACGTCGCTCCCCCAGAAAGGCAAAGCGCAGTCCGTCCATAGTTCAACTCCAGATGTCTGAAGAAAGATACCTTTTCCCTATCGGTAATGCTTTTAGTGCCAAGAACGAATCGAAGACTCTGCTCAACTTGATCGACGAAGGTCTGGATCAAATCCTTTGTGCCGATATACGTCTCACTGTACAGATGGGGATTCTCCACGCCAACAAAATTGTTCTTGACACAACTCTCGAGCAATGCTTTTAGTTCATCCAGAGCCACAAGGCCACCATTTCCGCCGCGACCTCTTTCGGACTCGGCTACAGCCTTTTGATGGAGCTCAGCCAGTTGGGCGGTGACCTTTCTCACCGTTTGATGGTTATAATACGAGTAGGATTCAGAGCGCTTCCACTCTTCATTCCCAAGATACTGGTCCAGGCGAAGAGCGGCCTCCTGCCATTCGTTGTAATTGGTCGCTCGATGAAGTTGCCTGCGCAGTCTCTCGCGTTCCCCTGTCCACGAAAACACATGCTCGTATACGTAAATGTAGAGACGGGTCAGATTGTAAATGATGAAGAGAAAAACTATCCAGCCAGAGACGATGAACAGTAATGGATAGTACAGGATCGTGTAAACGACGCCTTCGCGAGTTTCATCCTTGGATCGCCGCGTAGCTTTCCGTCGGACTCGGTTTCTTTTCACACGCTGATGAACCGGGCCCCAATCATTTAGAGCTGTTACGGGCTCGGTACTGGGGGCGATCAGGGCCTCAGCAAAACTTTCCAGATCTCCGCGTCGAACAAATTCGGTCTCGTAATCTGGTAATTCGTTGGGATCATAAGTGCCAGTCGAGGATGGCGTCGATGCGGACGCATCGGTCTTTCTCGGGTTGGAGACCATGATTCTGACATTGTCAGTGCGACGATCCTAGTGCGAGCTCATTGTGATATCAAGGAGGACCCAACAACCCCAAGTGAAAAGAAGGATGAGGATAAAGCAAGAGGGGCGAAATAGTGGAGAGATGTTAAAGTGGTTGTGGTGGTAAGGTGGTCCCATTACAGTATGACAATGATGTCGTCTTTGTTGGGGGTCACAAGTTGTCAGTTGATGCAAGGGTCGAGGCTCGCAGATGTCTTGGCGTAGCGCCACATATGCCCAGAAAACGCCACACGTACTCAAGCCACAATATATCATGCAAACAAACCCTCTTTCAGCGCTACAAGTCCAACCTGTTCGCTCTGGTGATCAATCATGCTCATTACGAGTACGGCTGGTCTGAAGCCGGCGCCAACGGCGTATGCCTGCACGACGAAGGTCTAGCTCACTTATCCAGAAGCCCCCTCCCCCCCCACGCGTTCATTGGGACACACCGCTTCCTCCCATATTTCGCCAAAACCCCGTGTCTAAGCTCGACCTCGGTCAAGAACAAGAGAGATAATGCTTGGGAAAGCGATTGGGGCCCCGACCGACGCATTGTTGGTCAGATGATGAGCAACCAGTAACCCAATTCCAGTGCGAACTGTAGCTAAAAGCTCGCTAGGTAATGCTTTTACCTCTCGCGAAATGCCAGTGGGTAATTGTCGGGGCTTGACATCATCCTGCTGGCCCTCCACAAGGACATTGGATAAAAGGAGCTGACGGGCCAGGACTCGAAATGCTTCAAGCAATCCTGCCTGGCGGTGGCCAAGCAGCTCACCTCCCACGCCTATCGCTGCATATTTTCCAGAATAGTGATGGACATCTCCGTTTCGCTTGACATATCACGGCCTAGGTATGGAGGCCCATTACGTGCCGAGTAAAACCAAAACTGGCAGCTCCCTCAGAGATCGTCGAGCATCGTCGAGAGCACCACAATGATTTGCGAAAAGAAAAAATTCATTTGGGTCGACCTCTCTACGCTGTGGGGGTTAGTGCCGACTCGGGGGCACTTGGAGCCTTAACGAGCTTTGGAAGTGATGCAAGATGTCGTGGGCATGCAACCTGAATCCACCAGAGCTCTGCCGCTAACATAGCACGAATGCATCTAATGCTCTTTGCCTAGGCGACGTCGGTGTGCTTTGGCACTGGCTGATATCCTTAGCTTACGACTACCGGCATATTGCACTCGGGATCAGAGAGGAAGATTCCATGATTCCTGACGGTATCACTCTCAGCAGGAATTTTGCTCATTATCCTTTCGAATTCCTACCCCGCCAGTCTGCACTGTTATTATCGCCAACTGATTTCTCCCGGTTTTCGAGCCGTTTTGCTTGTTCTGCAAAAATGGCGGTAAAGTTTCTCTAGTAAGCAAGAGAACCTGCCTTTTTATTTTTATTTTTTTTCCTTTTTTCCTCTCTCCTTTTGGTTCTGCCGTTGATGCAACATCTGCTCCAGGATGTTAAGCATGTGAAAATCCTTGCTGACCTGTTCCCTTTCCGGCCCAGCTCAAGTTTGAGAGCAAAAGGCCCATTGGCTGCTCGCTTCAGATCACTCACAGACTGTCTTGCCTAGCAGGAAATAATAGCGAACTAATAGGCACTCGGCAGCTTCACCTTGGCGTAGCCTGGCGGGCTAGCTAGTAAAAGACTGATAGCCAGCGGCCAAGCTAAGAATGGGCGTCGATTTCGGTATTAAGGGAGGAGAGAGATTCTGGGGGTTTTTGCCTTCGATGCCAGAAGCTAGGCCTCATGTTTGGCTAGTTGGGGCTCTCGGCAGCCGGACTCCAACCTTGGGAAGTGAT